TGCAATTTTCAGAAATTTATCTAATTTTTTCAATTTTCAGGAATTTTTGCGATTTTTGCAATTTTCAGTTTTCAGGAATATTTGCGATTTTTGCAATTTTCAGAAATTTTTCTAATTTTCAGGAATTTTTGCAATTCTTGCAATTTTCAGGAATATTTGCAAAATTTGCAATTTTCAGGCATTTTTGCGATTTTTGCAATTTTCAGGCATTTTGCGATTTTTGCAATTTTCAGAAATTTAGGAATTTTTACAATGTTTGCATTCTTCAGGAATTTTTCCAATTTTCAGGAATTTTTGCAATTTTTGCAATTTTCAGGAATTTTTGCAATTTCTGCAATTTTTAGGAATTTTTGCAATTTTCAGGAAATTTTGCAATTTTCAGAAATTTTTCTAATTTTCAGGAATTTTTGCAATTTTTGTTGTTTCTGCAATTTCTGCCATTTTCAGGAATTTTTGAAATTTTTGCAATTTCCAGGAATTTTTGCAATTTTCAGGTATTTTTGTGATTTTTGCAATTTCTGCAATTTTGGCAATTTTCAGAAATTTTTGCAATTTTCGCAATTCTCAGGAATTTTTGCAATTTTCAGGGATTCTTGCAATTTCCAGAAATTTTTGCATTTTTCAGGAATTTTTGCAATTTTCAGGCATTTTTGCGATTTTTGCAATTTTTAGGAAGTGTTCCCCGAGCCATATAACCTCCAGAAATTCAAGAAGAACACCAATTCCTACCTTATTTCCCTTGGTTCTCACGATGTTCTCTGAACATTACAGAATATCCGTTTTCGCGGGAATCAGAACATAAAAAAATGTGTAGTGAAGACAAATCAGATAATTTCATGGGTGTCAATTAGGGGGCAGTGTTCTGAGGATATTCCTTTTCACCCAAACTTGTTATTTTTTATAGACCTTCAATCGCAGATCGTGATTAGGTTTTCTCAATTCAGAATTTTTTTCCACGTCCTGTATAATGAATATCCATATGTCATACATCCAAAAACAAAAAAATGGCAGGGATTGAATGTCAAAAAATAATTATCAGATGTCAGTTCGTTATAGTTTTAGTTATATCATAGAGAGATGAAAATTGTGTATATTATGAAGAATGGCTGAAAAAATAACAGGACTTCTGGTTACTAAGGAGGGTTTGATATCCGAAATGAGTTCATTTGCAAGATTGAAGAAGAGTATTAACTAGTCTCTTTTTCCCTTGCGAACATGCTGATTTGCTGATACATGCTGATACCGAATCAATGTCAATTAATATCGGTACATTCTTCACGAATATATCTACTACTTATTCCTGTTCCAAACTGTATTGGTAATCTCGGGATTGAATGCCAAAAGTATATTGTATCGCATTTATTTTCAAATAGTTCATCAGGAAAGTGAAGCAAGCTCAGCAAACTGGGTAGCTGAATTGAAAATTAATATTTCACATCTTGACATTTTTGGAATAATGTAAAGAAACTTTGAGGGTCTAGTTTCAAAGTTGTTCGATTTTATAACAAGAAAAACAGAATTTATGGAACTTGAACATACACAAAATATTTCTGGATGTGTAATAATCTATTAATACAATACTATGTTGGTAAAATAATGAACATTATTTTTCAGTGCTGTCTGCTAAACCGTTCACACATTCTGTAAACATGAACAAGAATGATAATCACATAATTACACGTCATGTAGCAGATATTTTATTTACTAAATCGATTCGATTATTAGGATATCTTGGCGTTTAATCGACAGAAACTTCAATTAAAATGATAGATTCCTCGTAAGTGATAAGTGACGCTTCTTCCACGAATTGCAACGTTCGAAGAGAAATTAGGATGGTCATAGTCGCACTAGGAACACACTTTTGAAATACGGGGTGTTCCTGAATTTTATGTCCACACTAAAGGAGACAATCCCTTGGAGAATTTTAAACTGATAATCCATGTGTCGTAACTTGCTTTGTATTTGGGGTTGTTGAAGTTGAAAATGAAGGGATATTTTCTATTGGTCACTACTGTCAGTAGAGAACCACTCAATAAAAATCCAAGACAACAAACCTGATGATGATGAGTTATACAAAGCGCACCTTGAGGAGTATAAATTAGTAGGGCTCAGAACTATGGTAGTGTCATTCAATTCATTTCCAGTGTTTTTTTTATGTTCTGGTTCCCACGAAAAGGGATATCCTGTAATAATCAGAGAACATCGTGAGAACCAAGGGAAATAAGGTAGGAATTGGTGTTCTTCTGAAATTTCTGGAGGTTATATACCTCGAAAAACACCTCCCTTGGCAATTGTTCCAGAGCCTCGCTGTTCGTTGGATGAACGAGTCTTTGGAAAGAGATGTTCTGCAGGTCTCCAAAGTGACCACGAAAAGGTGCGAAGCCCCAACTCGACGGCTTAATTTCGCGGGGACTGCCAAGGGAGGGACAATTGTTGATATTTCAGAAGAGCATCGTCCATGAAAATATCTATAAAATAAAGGCAGATCGCCAACTTTTCTACGGTGTCCCAGAGAAGTGAGTGAGTTTGTATGCGAGGCATCACCCACGAGACGAATTGCTTTTTTTTAGACAGAATCCAACAGTTTCAGGGTATGTATGGGTGCTGCACTCCAAATATGGGAACAGTATTCAAGGACAGGTCGGATCAGTGCCTTATAGATCATAAGCAGCTGACTGGAAGTGAAATAGCTCCTGACCCGAAACAGAAAACCAAGTTTTTGGGATGCACTTTTAGTAATTGATCTCACGTGATTTTCCCAAGGAAGGTTATTGCTGATAGTAATCCCAATCATCGAAATGGATGTCTTCAAAGGTATGGTTACTCCTGACAAGCTTATGTTGGGCACAGTGAGATCGGCTTTTCTAGAGAAAAGGCATGCTCGTGATTTGTTTGCATTGACATCTACAAAAAGGAAATATCGAGTCGTTTTGTTAGCTCAAAAGTGTGAGTGGCCTATACAGAGAGGAATGCACAAAAAAAACGGTCAGTGCTGTAACTTCTGAATGATTCGAGATCGGATTTTGAAATTTGGTGGGTAAACAATTTTTGTTCTATCACTTTCGGTTCAACCGGAAGCAACCCCAACTTTTTGAAACACCCTATATATTTATATTTCTTGATATTTGGATTCAAGGGATGGATCGTAAAATGACACGATAAAGGTTGCATTCCTAACAATAATGAGTTTAAATAACATAGGACACGCATGTTCATCCAGTTACGCAATTTGTCAAGGGCAGTAGATCAAGAGCAACACATTATGAAATTGGGACATGCCTCAAAAACCATATTGTCTTTAATGTTTGCGCAATTATGATTACGCTAATTGGTCCAGAAAAAATTGAAGAATGTATAATTGATCAAAACGAATCTTCTGCCGCGATAAATATAAAAATGTATTGGTACTCATTAATTAAAATTTTGTACAGCGCAATGAGCATAACCTACTTCTATAGTTTTACTTCGGTATTGAAAAATATTGTATATTAGACAAAAAAAATACTCTCATTTTCTTCAAGCACTGTTGAGCAACTTTTGAGCATCCTGACAAATACTTAGTAACTTTGGAATTGGGTTTCATCAGAAGTTAACTATTGTTTAATTTCAAATGGAAATGACAGATTCGTGATTGGGTTTTCTGAACTTCAGAAGATTTTATCAAGAATTCTTATTTTCATCATATGAAATTCCCAATATATTTGTTTATACTTATACAGGGTGATCCACGGTGGATGGCCTATTACAAGTATCTTGAGAACGAAAAGACAGAACATTCTGCATCTCTATCCGTCTAAAATAATTTCATCGATACAGTATTGCCACTTATATCAGAAACAACTAGCGACTTTGTTATTTCAAATGGAACACCCTGTATTTCAATTCATTTTTAGATTTTTCCTGAAGAGTTGATTTCATCAATGCATCACACTTGGGGTCTAGCATTAATGATTACAGATTACAGAATTTTTCAATTTTAGGATTTTTTGTGTCGAAAATATTCATTATCGATCAAAACGGCTGACATGCCCCTATCTTAACTTTTGATTCACTATCTACTGGAATTTAATTGGAAAAAATACAGGGTGCTTCAAGATTCAGAATTCTGATCACCCTGTATCAGAAATTATTTATTTGCAAATTGCAGATGAACCTCGAGACTTATCAAAAATTAACACGATACAAAAAATATTTCTGAAGGGAATATCTTTCTGAAAATAAAAACTGGAAGTTTCCACTTGACCTCCAGTCTCAAAACGTGACTTATAGTCACAGAACATGCCATGCCAAAAATTATGAAAATCTTTTCATGAGCAGAATTATTTTTTTCCAAAAAAACTTCAACGCCTTGTACCAACTCAACGAGACCATTTTGGATATAGGTAAGTTGGCCTGAATCAACTCGTTTTTATCCTAGGAGTCCACAGCCGTGCCATGTCCCAACCTTTTACAGACACCCTGTATAATGTAATATATTCTCAATATTGATTCGTGTATTAAACACGGGAAAAATATTAGATTTTAGCACACGCGTCGGGAGACAACACAACCTGGAGCTAAAAACCTACTACTTTTTCCCCTTGTATGATAAATAACTATTTCTTGTAGCCCGAATAACTGAATTCTCCGATATTTCCTATTATATCATGATATAATACAGTCGATGAAGTAATCAAGTAATCATTCTAGATATTATTAGTTTTATCTTGTACCCATAATATATTACCTACTCAACAATTTCATATTGACTGACTGGCAATTCCAACAACGTTGAAAATTTTCCATCAAAATTTCTCGAGGTTGTAGGTCCGTCCCTGACGGCCACCCAAACCAATAGAAAAACTCACGTCCCGACGTGCATAATATGCACCTCGCCAATAGGCCAAAACATCCTGAGGATATGCATATGCATCCGATTCCGAACATCATCGCTCATTGAACAGCTCGAGAATCCGAGATAAGCTGGTCAGTATTTAAAACTGTATCACTCGAAGCCGAAACTCAGTCGGCCAGGCATGCTGGCACGTTGATGTCATTCGAAAAAATAAACGTCAAAAAATGAAGACCCTTCTGAGGCAAGATTACACCCTGCATCGGGACACCGGCAAAAGGGACCTCAGACGGGCCGCTGTGTGTTCTTACATTTTCCTTCTGATACTCATCGTTTCCTTGTTCGTTTTCCTCCTGCTGGTGATAGGTCGCGTGAAAAGGTTGGAAAGTGAAGTTGAAGAACTGAGCAAAGTGGTGGATGCTGTCAGAGTACTGGATGCAGACGTGATCAACGCTATCATCGGATTCGAAGAAGACGAGGTAACTTTAGACCATAAGTTTACATAAAATTCACCTTAGATCTCACGAAGTTTACTGAACATTATCTTTATTTACAAGTACTTCCTGGTATATTATATATTATGTATCCATTTTTTTGCTTACAAATACTTGGTGGACTACCTTCATAACTTAGTATTTGCAAAAATATTGGCAGAGTATTTGAAAAGATCTATGTATACAAGGTGTTTTTGAAATAAGTAAATATTCCCATGATATCAGATTTTTCTAATTCTTTTGATTAACGAGAAATTTCATGCCGAAAATTGAACGAAATAGGGGATCGAGTACGACACTAAAACAATTTGAATGGTTGAACTGAGGATAGAAAAAGGGGTCTCTCCCGAAATGTTATTCGTATCCCTCTATATGTATACAAACTTCTGAAATATTTTAATACCCCTACAATAGGAATTTGAATACTTTAGAGTATTCAAACAATCGAAAAATATCGATCACCTACTTTAGGAACTTATTTTTATAAAAAAATGTACCGTTTGTCCGTGAGACGAGTTCAAAGTTTACATAGAAAAACACATTTTTGTACGTTGTTCAAAAATGAGTGAAACACATTGGATGAAATTTGACAAAAGTGCATTATAGAAGATTCCCCTTGTTTCGGTAATCAAAGAAACCCGAAAGAAATTGTGGAAGGGTTGAAACCACCCTCACCCCCTGAACTTTTTTTCAGAACATTCTTATAGGAGTGGTAATAGGGTTCTCAAAAGGAAAAAAAATGTTTTCTTAAATAATGCTCATGAACTGATCCAAATTCAGATCTACACTCGTCTGCTGAGAACAATTCGCGATTCATTTTATCTCTTGGAGCGTACGAAAGGAAATTCATCGTGCGTAACTCGGTAGGATAGGGAAAGGAGGTAGGTGTTATAGGTTTTTTTTTTTTAACTTTTGATTTCTTGGGAATACTTTCATTGGAAAATAATTCCAAAGCAGAGAGCTGACATTGTCATATCCTCTGAAGACGACTATATACATACCTAATCTCTGGTTGAATTTTTGCCCCTTTCAATAGTTTTGTCTGTACGGTTGGTACAATTTTACACCTTTTTGGTTAATTCTTTCAGTAAATATTGCTGAAGAATGATTTCAACGTATACATTAAAAACATTCTCCGAACATTCTGAAGGGGGGCTGTGAGAAATAGTTTTATTGAAAACTTTGGAAGTGGATATTTTCAACAACAAAAAAAAAACACGAAAACGGTAAGACTTTTTGTCATATGCAGGTTTTTTTATCCTTTGATCTACATTCTCCCATTTCTTCCTAGGTTTGACGTGGTCTTTACGGGCGACACTGTATATAGATAACCGTAGATAACCAATTATAGCTCTATTTCCATATGAAAAAAAATATTTTCAACTACAATTGCATTACGATAATCAAAATGGCCACTTCACCTTCATATAATTTAGATTTACTTCTAATGCCCATATCAGGACATCATAAATAGGAACAATCAACAAAAGAAGAAAACAAATTCCATGACAAGAAGATTAGAATGGAATATAAATTATATTAGATTATATAGCGATTGAACAAGATTCCGAAAATGAGAGAATGATTACAACTCGGATTACTATAATGCATTTCTCTATCAGATCGAAATAAAATAATATGACGATCACAATCACAATTTTTACAATTGAATTGTGAACCTTCTGTTCAAAATATGATTTTCATGTCAATTAGTTTTATATTGAGAAAGAGTCACTTTTCGATCTCAGGAACTTACAATTCGAAAAATATTTGAAAAGTTCTCGATTTGAATCGATAGAAAACAACAGGGTGATCACTGATGAACATTGTCGGATTTCTGAGATGTGAAGAAAAATAACACCGCGAAATGAATATACAGCACGACCTATGCTACTGCACCGGATCCATTCATTATCAGTTTATCTATTAATTGATAATTGTTATGGAATTTTATGACCTTGACCCTCGGCAGATGCAGCTCAAACACACTTTGTTGCATTAGAGCCTGATATTACAATAACAATATGAAATTGAATGATACTCCGAATTCCATATTGTACCATTTGTTATTTAATGACAACATGCGTTCAGTTTATATCCTTGTATTGCAAAAATAAGAGCACCTAGCTCGGTATTATCTACTGTAGATACAGAAGGAATTATTATTAGATATACCATTTTGGGGCCTTCGACCTTTTTCGTTTATTCATAATGATTACATTTTATCAACAACAATATCGTCACCAACTCGGCTGGAATAGAAGCAAGATGAAATAATTTATTTTGGGAATTTAAACTGCCGATTTGGCAAACAGAATGTAATAAATATACCTATCAAACGATATTTTGAAATATTCAGTAAATTCAGGGTATATAGTATTGAAATGAACGTACAGGGTGATTCAAACTTCCCGCACTTCCCTTATAACAAGAAAAGGAAACAGGCGCGTATCCAGCTTTGTTCCATGGGGGGAGGGAGGGGGGTGATATATCTAGAGCAAAAAAGCGCTGCAGGCGAAATTTATTTGTTGTTCAAGGTCGAATGCAATTTTAAATGTCAAGTTTACTTCGACCTGAAAGAAATGCTCGAGTTCAAGTCGGTGAGACAATTTAATAAATTGGATTTTTCAATTTCTCCACTCCAAGACTCTCCAAATCGCGACGTTTCACAGAGTATACATAATTTTTTGACAACGCAAGTTTAAGAAAACATGACATAAAAAGGGAAATGTAAGGATGAACATTAATGATGATGGAACTTGCACGCTGCAGTTTTAGGATTTTTCAGCTTTCAGGAAAAAATAGATTCGATACTCGTTACGTGTTGTATGAAATCAATTTCGAATGAAATACTGATGAATTTTCTTCGATCGTCTGGAAAGGGGGGGACGTTATTACCCCCATTGCCCCCTATTGTATACGCGCCTGAAAGGGAAACTGCAAATGCAAATGCAAATTTGGCAGAGGCGATTTGAATTGCTGTGAGGTAAATTGATTTCAATCGGCCTATTTTGGTCTCTAGTTCACCCTGTAGAATTTGATTTCATTTTGATTGCGATTCATTCATAATAATATATGTGATACAATTAATATAGATTATAAGATTATAACATAACACCCCCACCATCAGAAGGACAGAATTCACCTAAGCAAGTGAATATTTGTGTCGTGGTGTTCTATGCTTCAGTGTGGGAATAAATATAATAATAATTAATATTTTGAGACGAGTGTAGCTCACATTTTACTTACTAGGTTGTAATTCAAAATCATTCGGACGGAATTCGAAATCGGAAATAAAAACAAAGGAATGAATACAAAAAATAAATTGAGTATTATGGTATACTTCGTTCTGGGAAACCTTGTATATCATTGGCATCGGTTACACCTTGCCCTGCCACTGTGAGAGTAAAAATATTTCATGTTCAAGTAAGGACATAATAAATGACTAGCTTTGTTGATAATATTTGTTGTGCGTATTTTCGTAATGATGATATATGGGATTAAATTAATCCCTCAAAATGCTTTTTTCATTTGAGAAAGATAGAGCAAAATGAATTAATAAATTAAGTTAGATCCATAGAAAAACGTTATGCACCATTTTCGCGTTTCTAAGACCAAAATTAACGTTGATTATAGACATTCCTATACCGGGTGTCAACGAATCTATTATAGACAAGTCATAACTTCTAGACCATTAGGTGTATCAAAATGAGATTTGGTATAGGTAAATGGTATGTGAAGAGGAGAGTTTTCACATACTTTTCACATTCCGGTCACTTCCGGTTTCACCGGAAATGGCTCCGGTTCTAAATTTTTAAATGGAACACCCTGTATATTGTAACATTTTTGGATTTCTAAGACAATTCTAGATCAGAATGTGACATTTTCGAAAGCAAGAGGAATAGATTCTATCACTGTCTGAGAGTCAATGGTGGTAATTTCGAACATCTGTTGTGGCTAACCATTCCATACATTCAATCACTCACAATTGAAAAACATACCGCATGTGAACTCGAATATCCTCAAAACGGCTTGATGGAATTCAAAAAACTTTGTCAGAATTGAATTACCTTTGCAATGGTGTATAATATGACCCTTGTTCCCTATTCAAACTGTAGAGGGGGCTGCTCTGGGGAGAAGAGGGTTGAATAATGTATTATCTTCGGACGTGTTTCGTTGTTTCTTTGAAAAATATTTTTTCTGCGAGTTATTGAGGGTGGATAGTCATAAGTGGACCACCCGGTATAATGTCATGAAGCTCCGGCGATACTGGCCTATATTGATGACAACTCGATTATTCAATTTGATTTAATATTTCCGTTGATAACAACCGAATGCATTTAGACAAAATATTATCTATATTTTCTAAACAATAAGATGATTGTTTTAATAAAGGAGCTTCGCAATTACTGGTAGCTGGGCTGGTGGCCGTGAGCGTAGAGTCGCTGGCTGTCGCCCAGGCGGTCCGGGTTCGATCCCCGGCGCGAGCACTGAATTAATTTTCGGTAGTTTCGTTGGGCGGGAGGAGATAGGTGGCCAACCCAACATTCTTGGTACCTAGATATCAATCCTTTGGACTGTCCACGGTTACCAGCCGAGTAGTGCTTCGGATGACACTTAAAAAGCTAAGGTCCCCGTCTTCTTAACTCACACAAGTCTCTGACTTTCGAGGGTTGCTTTGCAACTAAGCTGGCGGTTAAAAAACACTTTTTAAACACTTATCTTTTAATCTCCTGTCCCATAACACCCCGATATGCAAATGCTGTTTATTCGGTTAGCTGTGATAAATAAATTAGAATTCTTTCTAGGATTTTTGATGACTAACAATCTATCAGTAGGTATTGTCGTATTCAAAATGAAAGAAAAGTCAGAGAGAATCAACTTTGGCGAAAAAAAATTACCATCTAAAATATGCATAGTTTGGGCAAGACACCCAGTCCAGCAAATTGCCTATTGCCTATTAGCAAAATATATATAACATGATTACCAATTTTGCGTGAGACATACTGAAATAAGTATATAAAGTATATAGAGAGTCGGTTAAATCACGAAAGTTTCAGCAAATTCAATCTTGATTCAGAATCAGTTGAAAAATCTAGACTAGCTTCAGTCATTTTTGAGTTATTCCAGAAGAACTAAAACGACTTCAACATTCTCATAGTATTTTTGAGTGATCTTCGAATTGGTTTTGTCAGTTTTTATGAAAAATATAAAATTTCTGAGATATGACTGACCTCCAACTTATTTTATTATTTTCTTTTCTTTTTTCAAGTAGACAAAACCCCTCGAAAGATCACTGTAGAAGTCGTCACTTCATACAAACAATGCTTGTTTCATTTGATCAGTGTGCAGCATCCGAATAAAAAAGAGTTGGAAATGTTATTGAAATAATATATTTTATTCAAATACTGAAAAATACAACAATAAATAAATATATTTCTTAGGAAGAAGGTTTATTTAGGCCGAGTAAGGTTAGATTGTTTTAAAAATGTAGTCTCCTTTCTTATGCAGAAGGGATATTTTCCTTCCTCATAATACAGAACATGCAGTATTTTGCCAGGATCCTTTGGTCAGTCGGACCGGGTTTGGGAGGCTGTAAAACTACTGCTGGTCATTCAGAAATGTTCAGAACTAGTTTTGTACACATTTAAAATTGCTCAAAACTAGTTCTACTTATTTTGAAATGCTCAATACTCAAACTGTTTGATTTTTTCCCAAGTCCCAATTAACGTGAAATTTTGTGTTGAAAATTGAACAAGAATCGGAAAAAAAAAGGAAAAAAATATCCAGTACGCCCCTTCAAGAATAATTAAATGATTGAAATCCGCATCTTTGTGCCTTCCGCATGGTAAGTTGACTTCAGAATTGCTACTGTGTAGACCTTTGGGCAGAAAAAAGGTCGTACCGCGAATATTTTTCAATTGTGTTATTCAATAGTATAGATATCGAGCTTTATTATAGGATTCAAAGTATATGTATTTATCTCAATGTCCCCCTGTATAGCTTTTGTAATAGAGATAAAACCGAATTGATTATCAAATTCCATAGTGATATAGGTTACATTCAGATAACTCACTTCGAAAAATCTAATAGCAGTTATATATACCTGTCATTATTGGTTATTGGTTAAGGAATTTTTTTGTGATAAAAAAGTTTTGGAATTCAGCTACAAAATTCTGACGTGATTTTGTAATTTCTTGAAATCCTATGAATTTCCTCGTGATTTCTTGAAATACTTTGGCTTCTTCCGAAATTGCAATGTTTTTCTCAAAACTTTTAGCGTTCCTTCGAGATTTCTTGAGCCTCCTGTAAATATCTTCAATTTCATCGAAATTGTTCGCATTTTCCCGAAACTCTTGGGATCCAAAGCAGACATTTCACATTTTCTAGAATGGATCCCTTCTAGCTTCCAGAATATTCAAATTCATTTCTTCAAAAATTCTTATGTCTTTTTTGTGAATTCTTTCAAATCTCATTCATTCTTCAAAAAACTCAAAATTGCTTCTTCTTCTAGTTCGAAAACGACGACTCAGAGACGGATCAGCCTCATGAAGACCTCGCCGAAAACCTAAGCGACTACATGGACAATTACTATGCGAATTCGAACGATTCCGAAGAGACACCCCGAGACACCCGGGAATACGAATCTCCCTTCAACTTGACCAAAATAATGAGAGAATCGAGAGCCAAAAGGAACATCGTTGCCGCCACACAGGACGGAGTCATCATCAACTCCGAGTCGTACGCCCAAAAAAAAGCAAGCAACGCCACAAGGAGGTATACGCTGAAAGGCCATTCGGTAACTGCCTATCCTGGAAAATCATCATCCATAGGGTAAGTTGAAACAGAGTGATAAAACGCGGTGGAATTTTGTACTTTTTGTTCAATTCCTTGGAATTTCTTGGAATTCCTTGGGTGAAAAACGGTACATATAATTCTGGTCTAAAAACAACAGAACATCCTTGGAATTCCTTGGATTTCCTTGTGTGAAGTGCGATATAATTCTGGTCTACAAACAACTGGAATTACTTGGAGTCCTTGGATTTCCTTGGATTTCCTAGGATTTCCCAGGATTTCCTTGGATTTCCTTGTATTTCCTTGGGTGAAGTGCGTTATAATTCTGGTCTACAAACAACTAGAAATCCTGGAAATTCCTTGAATTTCCTAGGATTTCCTTGGATTTCCTGTTTGTTGATTCCGTGGAATGTATTGGAATTCCTTGGATGAAGTGCGGTTTAAGTATTCTGGTCCACAAACAACTCGAATTCCTTGCTTCCTTGGATTTTCTTGGATTTCCTTAGATTTTATTGGAATTCCTTGGGTAAAAAACGGTATATGTATATAATTCTGGTCTAAAAACAACTGAACATCCTTGGAATTCCTTAGATTTCCTAGGATTTCCTTGGATTTCCTTTTTTTGTAATTCCCTGGAATTGATTTGAATTCCTGGGATTATGTTCGGTATAATTATTCTGGTCTACAAACAACTCGACTTCCTTGCTTTCTTGGATTTCCTTAGATTTTCTTAAAATTCCTTGGATTTGCTTAGAATTCCATTGAATTCCCTCAAAATTCCTTGGATTTCCTTGGAATTCCTTGAACTGAAATCCCTTGGAATTCCTTGTGGAATTGAAGTTTGGTGTACACCATTTTGACCGCGGCTTAACCCTCGGTCGGAACTATACCGGATGTCCCAGATCTTGTCATACAGCCAATATCTCAGTTATGCTGCTTGGAAAAAAAATTAAAAACACACATCTCCTTTGTTGAATCCAAATGACTTTGAAGCCATTGTGTCAAAGTCAACTTCGGTCAATCTACCCCTGATAAACCACCCACAACTTATTTATTTCAAGTTGCACCCTATACATTTTTTTGTTGATATGTGGAATGCAATGAATCCTAACTTCAACGATGTATCACACTTGATAATTTGACTGACGCGTCCAATTGACAGAATACACATTTGGAGATGTTTGGAGTAAACGTAAAAGGTATTGTCTTAGTTGGATGTACAGTCAGATGCAATGAACATGTCGCACCTGGACGGTGATGGCACCTCTAGTCACTTCTGCAATAAGAGCGCTGACACCATCCAACCGCGACCATGTTCTTTGCATCTGACAGTACCTACAGATTGCCTAGAAGACGCGTGCACGTACTGTATAAAAAGATCTGGGACACCCGGTATATCTTTAATCATTGTACTCGAACTGAATTTCGAAAAACTGTTTCCATTCTAATTCTTGGTTAATATAATCATCGATACCCTTAATATTATTTTATGAACACCCTGTAAAAAGATATTGTCGTTACAGATCTCCATGGCCAATTTACCCACACAGCTACCACACCACTCCGAAATATGGGAATTCTGGAAGGCACAGTACAAAGGCACCACCTCTAGTGTATTCTAGGCCATCCCGAGTTATGCACCACGAAAAACCGAAAAAACGTCCCCGAGTTGTCAAAAAAATATCCTGGAAGTCTGGCAATACGTATTCAGACATGAATGTAAGTATATGGGATATTTCGTCCACACTTTGCTGAAAATTATCGCCCAATATTTCAAAAAAGATTCCTGAATATATACTTGGTGTTCCAGATCTATTCTTACAGCCAATATCTCAGTTATGCTTCTTGGAAAAAAAAATACACTTTTGTGAAAGCCAAATGACTTTGAGGCCATTGTGTCAAAGTCAACTCCGGTCGAATGGGGGAGACCACTGCTTTTTTGGAACGACATCATCGTGAACTCTATACTGAAAAACTACAAGTGAAATAATTTTGGATTTTTTCATTCGTGCTAAGACGATGAAAAAAATAAATTAGAATGTGTCCATTTCAAAACACACGATTCCTGCGCCATTTGAAATATGGTCAATTCATTGGTGTGACTGGTAAGACGTCTTAGTCCCAACACGCCTATTGTCCTTGAAATGACCAATCACACTGCAATACTGCAGAATGGCAAGGTATCAGAGAGAGAGATAGCTACAGTTCGGGACTAATACGTCACGGCTCCACCATCATATTTGGCTTTTTGAAATATCGAATGAAATATGCTGATTTCAAAACGATATAGATTCGATTCTCTTTAACTTCAACTCATAATATTGATTGTACATAAAATGTAAATCATGATTCGTCGATTGAAAGAGGTTTGCACGGATTTCTTCCCTCAGTGGTCTTCCCCATTACCCCTGAAAAACCACCGCCGACTTAATTTTTTCAAGTTACACCTTGTAATTTTCTTGTTGATTAGTGAAGTGCAATCAATTCTAACTTCAACGATGTATTACACTTGATATTTCGACATACGCATTAATTCCAAAATCACAAAATTCGAAGGAAATCAAGTGTAGATAATTTGTTTGTTGTTGAAAGTTGAAAATATGCCGTCCATAATGAATCTGTATATATCTTCCGGATTGGTTCAACTTCAACTTCATTCTTATTGGTTTCACTTCATTTTCGATCTCAATGATTGATTTTGACAGTTCAATGTATAAACAAGGTTTTATCGGGGACCATGCAGTTTCATCAGTATAATACCGAATGACGCATTGCTATTGGTTGAAAACGCCACATTTTGACATGTAAAAAAAAATAATCGCATGATTTTCAGGATGATACGACTACTTATGCTCCAGGCTTCACTATAGTCCGCGACGGAAGACGATATAGACAAAGAAACTCGAACCTAGAGATCCTGGATGAAGGACACCCACGCACGGGCAGGATCAAGCCACTACCCTCCGTGCACTACAATGGGGACACCACGAAATACGTAGTTGGGGAGCACACGAATTATTTGGGTAGGTACCGAATTTCTCTCGGAATCCTCCCTTCTAAAATGAATAGAATAGTTTGAAAAACTAAAAAAACAAGCTTTTATAGACAGCCAAACTGAAGAGAAGTAGAAAATAATAGTACATTATCATACAAGTTTTATAAGACACTATTTTGTCGCACGCGTTGTTTGGCCAAAAAAACCAGTGCGACAATAAAACGTGTATAATATACTATTTTTTCTATTTTGCATTAATTTGAACTCATTTATTCAAAAAAATTCAAATATTAGAAAAATATGATGGTATGGTATAAATGAAAAAACGTTTTAATGTTCATTCCCAAATTGAACAGATGGTAGAAAAATTATTTAAATATACATCATTATTCTAGTGATAAAATTTGAAATTGTTGCTTTAGTGCAAATTTGAATTTTTTATTTTGAGAAAGACTGAAAAGGCTAACTTAAAGTTGCACCCCTCCTGAACTTAGGAAGTTTGCAAAACTTCTATACCGGACGTTGTCTTCGGCGTTCTAATTGATTACATGATTATTATAGATTTTGTGGGTCATAAAATTCATTCATTGAAACATTGTTCTGCAGTATGGATTATTTGTTGCGTTCTGTCTCTAGAGGCTAGTATGTCTGACAGTTTGACGTTACCATTACCATTACCAACTAGAAACTGTTTCGATACACATTTTGGAGTCATAATGAGTTCATTAAAGACGCAAAATAGAAAAAATAAAAGTGTGCTGATGAATTTACAACATAGAAAATAATGATTACGGAGATGCTAATATTCTCTATGTTGTGTATTTATCAACACACTTTCATTATTTTATTTTCTACTTCTTTTTAGGTTAGCTATTTATAAAAGCTTGTTTTTTATTTCTTCAAACTTATTCATGATCTATTTTTCAGTTCGGCTAACTAGAGAAGCGTGTTGTTTTTTAGTTTTTTCTATTTCTTGTAACTACCGCCTTGCAGTGAAAGTGGGTAATTTGGGCTCCTAATGCTTTTCCTGGATGTTTTCACAGTTCATCAGTCTCCCTTTCCGGAAATGTTATTGAACATCGCTCATCTTGAAGATCCGGATGATGGAACAAAACTATTAACTATTATTATGCTATTGTCATCGATCCTCGATATATAAGTCAATTCAATTCGACGTTTTGCAGTGTGCCAAAATCATATTCGAATATTCAGTTCATACAAACATATACAGGGTGTTACATAATTCAATACAAATATTTTAATGACATATTCCTGGGGTCAAAATAAGACTTTTTTTTCCTATAAACATGTGTCCTAAAATCCACCCCCTCCAAGCTACAGACATCGCAAGATGCGCAAAAAAAATCTTAAATTTTGAATTGTGGCTACAATTATGCATCAAATATTTTGAAAATTCACAGGCACTTGTATTTTTAGACGATCTATTCATTTCTTGATTCAAAAATGAGGTAACTCGAATCAAAAGGGGTGAATGAGGGTTGCATACAGATTTGATGGCAAACATTTTCTATTTCCTTCAAAAAAATTTGAATTGAAACATCATCGTTGAATTGGACACTAAAAAATCATATATTTCAGTCTCTTGCATTTTCTTGAATTAGCTAACCGTTTTAGAGAAAATCGCTAGTAAATGAAAGGGGTGTATTTTCAAATTATTATACTAAAAAAACTTAGTGAGCTATGATTATGTTTGTCTCTGGTAACTAATGATTAATTAATATCTTTTATGCCAAACTGACATTGTGGTATGTCATAACCGTCATGTCACAATCGATTCACTTTCCTCAACTTACATAGGACACATGTTTATAGGAAAAAAAAGTCTTATTTTGACCCCAGGAATATGTCATTAAAATATTTGTATTGAATTATGTAACACCCTGTATACCAAGCTAATGAAAGCGTGATAAAAATCACCCCACTCTTTTTGATTTTAGGAAACGGCCATCTGAGGCATCACCAAGCGACATTCGTAGACTGGAAAGCCAGTAACTGGGTGGATTCTTTGGGCATGGATAGCCATTTCAGCCTTGACCAAGGATTCGTCACCATTCAAGAGTCCGGACTATACTTCGTTTATTCTCAGGTCAGTAATATACAGGGTGAATTACGTAGGACACACATTAGAAGGTTCCCAACCTGCGGTTGGATTGAATACTTGAAAATTGGTATGCTGAACATGAAAAAATTAAATTCAACACCCCGTATCTTTTAACCGAAGGCCTTGCGGACCCATGTTCACAGGAACTTTTTTCCTTATTTTAGTGTCCTCTATTGTGTGGCATTATGCAATGTACTTTTTTCTATGTCACCCTGTATATCGAAAAATCGATAAATTTGCCCACGCTATAATTGCTACACCCGGTATTCATAAAAAAGGTTCTTATGCAAATACAGTATGCACACCAATAGAAGGAAATAACCTGTCATTCAAATCAAAAAACGTCCAAATCGGACGAGTACTTTTGACGAAAATGTTTTCCAAACTTTTGGTTAGTTTTTGGTGGTGCGTTAATTTCTTGTAGAAGTGTATAGGTAAGTATTATCGATATATCGAAAAATCGATAAATTTGCCCACGCTATAATTGCTACACGCATAAGAACCTCTTTTTTATGAAAACATAAAAAAGAGGTTCTTATGCGAATACAGTTTGCACACCAATGTTCAGAAGGACATAACCTGTCATTCAAAACAAAAAACGTCCAATTCGGACAAATACTTTCGACGAATATGTTTCCCAAACTTTTGATTACTTTTTGGTGGTGCGAAAAATCGAAAAAAATTTGCCCACCACCTTGTCCTGTGATAAAAAAATTAAATGATTTTGCATCCTTTTCCAGATATACTACCTCGACGAGCACGACACCACAGGATACAGGGTGTTCAAGAACGACCAAATGATCCTCCAGTGCACCCTGACGATACACTCTGTGGAGAGGAAGCTCAAAGGGAACACTTGCTTCACCGCTGGGGTGGAACACTTCTCCGAGGGAGACAGGCTCTCTTTGGCAGACATAACGCCAGGCCGCCTGTCCCTCTTCGAAAAAGGGAAGTCCTTCTTCGGATTGGTCAAGTTAGGCGACATCAAGATAAAATAAGTGTTCGTTCATAATTCTTTTTTTACGTTCCGTTGTTACCAATATTGTTCATGAGGTTACGAAAATTGGTTGAGAGTATATATTGTATTAGTATTTTGTGTTATGTGCTCTTACTATTTTCCGATGTGCGTAACCTAATATAATTAGTTTTTAGTAATTGTAGATATGAATGAATACGTTTGTTCTGTTATTTATTGAATTCGAGAATTTGTATTGAGCTTTTTCTTAAATAAAATTCGAATAATATGTACAATTTTTTTTTCTGAAATTAGGAAGGATTTGAAGATCCTTTTTGCTTCACCTTGTACGACTTGTATGTACAGTTGAATGGTCATTTAATAGCCTTAGGAGAATCAGAACCTAGTTGAGGAGGAAGTACCTAAGTTTTGTGTTTTGTTATTCAATTATAGTATTGATGTTTCTTTCCTCTTCATGAAAAAAATCTAGAGATATTCCTTCAATTGGAACTTTTTCTATATGAAAAATGCTCGGAAACTATTAGAATTCAATGTTTTACTGTTATATATTATTTTGAAAAGAAAAAAAAGGAATTAAATGAGCTCATAAAATACAGGGTATTCCATTTGAAAAATGATGAGTTTGAGTCGTATCTGCAAATCCATACACCGAAAAAAAAAATTTGAGTGCCCCACTGGATTCTGCGTAAAATTCTCTATGGGATGATATTTCAATTTGGCATTTTTGCTGAGGAACTAGAACAATTTCCAGGGAAAAATTAATTTCCCCATATGTTCTTAGTTGAATGAATCTGAGTATCAAACTTCCTCAAGAAGTCTCTTGAATTTCTAATTATCCACCCCAATATATGTTTCCTTCCAGCGGTTCATAAACAAAAGAAACAAGGTTTCTAAAAGTGACACCATGAAATTTACCCCTGGAGATTTTCCGACATTACCTGTTGATTTTAGCTCTAGATCAAGATATCATCTCCAGAATTCACAGTAATTTGCCCATGGTTTCAAGATATTACCCTCAAGATTTTCCGACGTATACCTTGACAATTTTGGTTCTAGTCCAAATAGTTGGCCTATACCTGTATCTTTGGGTTTGATTTTTGTTTTGAACTCTTTGAGATTTTATCTCAACTAACTAGCATTCAAACCTCAAGGGTGTGAGATGTTGATCGTAAAATTGACAATTATTATTGATTGCATATTTGCAGCATCATTTCGCGATGTGAAGTCTTTATATTCAGGACATGACTGACATATTTCAATTAAAGCCACCCCCGCTTATTGAGAAATAATTAGCTATTTTTTTCCCAGAGATGGTATCGACCAGACAATCTGCGCATGCGGTTTCGTATAAACAATCCTTTATTTCGATTCTCGCCTATTTTCCACCAGTCCCCATCTGAAACCGAGTTCTCCCAAATCGCATCGCCATCCAAACAGATTTTTATGAATTATTGAGAGGGTAAGTTCATTTTCATCGTGATAGTATTAGATAATTGAGTTTTGATTCACTGTCCATCGCCATACCATTTTAATCCCCATCGACTTTGGAATGAGCTCTGCATTCCCCGACTAATGAATATAGTTAGGATATTCTGGATAATCCAAGATAATTAAAGGATGTTGACTGGGATTGTAGTAAATTGTTATGTGCATCAACCAGTCGGGTAATGATAATTATATAATTTGATTCAACAGGTAGTCCTGGCATTCCTATTGATTTTCTTTCACGGCTGTTTCACGTAATATTGGACCTTTCGAAATCTTTCTGGAAGAAGCTGAATCCAATTTAGATTCAGGCAGTCCAGGAAATTGAAGGTAGTGATGTTCAGAATTGCCCGTTTAGATATTTATTTTATTGATCGGGATGTCCATACGTTTTTTTTCGATTCCAGAATATTTCTCTCCCATCCAGGATCCAGGATATTGAACCTTCCAGCGTACCAATATTGGTTTCTTCTCGCCATGTCATCAAAGACAAGAATATGAATGAGTTCCTATTTGTCACAGTTGAAACTGATATTTGCTTTCAAATGTCTTTATAGATCGACTGATTATATTGCCGCGATGATTTTTTCCCATATTTTCCTAAATAGCAGGGTCCCAAGAAATAGCATATAGAATGTTTGGAAATTCCTAGAATTCCAAAATGGTGAGGTCCAAGAACGCAAGAATTGAAAAACAACAACAATTTATTTCGAACATTCCAATTAACTTCGTAGATTCTCCAAGAGATTCCCAGACCTCTAATTCTCCAATGGATACACTGACTTTCAAAAAACAGTTTTCATTTTCAAGGTCAGTGTATAATCTACCTAACTTGAAACAAATCATATAAATTCAGAGAAATCCGATAAATTTTTTAACAATTATAAATAACTAGGTATGTACATTGAGTAATTGAACCACCCGGCACCTTCATCAAAATTTGAAATGGACTCAATCTGTTCTTTGAATATGGAAACAGTGCGTCCTGAAGATTGTCCCTCGGATTTTTCATATTATAATGATTCTCATTTATACAGAATTTATAGCTCTTCCACATCCTTCTCCTCTCGGAACTTGTAAAGTGTTCGTAGTCCACCTAGGTATTTCCTTAAATTTGAATTCCGCAATTTGATTGAGCTCTCCAAAATGTTCGAAGGCTCTCCCATCCTGCTACAAAAACTTGAAAAACCATGTTTCAATCAACTTTTGAAAAGCCAAATACTAGAAAGTGGAATGAAATGGTCAAAAGAGGGAGAAAATCAAAGTCATGCCACAATAGTTCATAAAATGAACGAAAATGGTAGATAACGAGAGAAAAACAACTACTTTCTTGATGGCTATATAGAACATTGAATAATCTATGCAACGATTCGTATAGACGAATACAGTTGCAAGTATTAGTCTCCTAAATGCTGAGTTGTGATTAAATTGTTCAGGAACACTATCAGACCGGTTTCGAGATTTGGCACTCATCAGTGCAGGGGTAACCCCAGGTGGCATTCATGACAGCCATTTGGTGTGAACTTGACTCAACGTAAACACCTCTCAGTATTCAATACTCACGAGGCGTCCGACCATTGCGAATTGGACAAAACATCGTCCAGGGCAGAAGGAAAGAAACACTTCAAGACTGAAATTCCCATTTCGGACGACTTTGAGTTTACCCCTCTTTGTGACCATTTCATTCCACTTTGAGTATTTTGGCTTTTTCCCAGTTGAAAAAACACCAGTCGGCAATCAGCTACTCCCATTTCTCCAGAAATGGGAATTTCAGTCTTGGAGTTTTTCTTTCCTTCTGCCCTAGACGGCATTGTGTCTATTTCGTCGTGGATATTAAATGCTGAGAGGTGTTAACGTTGAGTCAGTTTCGCACCAGATGGCAGTCATAATCAACATCTGAAAACACCTGTGCACTGATGACAACCAAAGCTCGAAACCGGTCTATAGGTAGTCCAGCGTTCCTGAACAATTCAATCACAACTCAGCATTTAGTAAAGAAATACTTGCGACTGTATTCGTCTATACGAATCGTTGCATAGATTTCGGGAGGATGTAATTCAATGTTCTGCGTGCCATATAGCCAGGAAAGTAGTTGTTTTTATCTAATATTTTCGTTCATTTAATGAACTATTGTAATTAATTCATTTCAAGACGTGAAAAGAGGGCCGCAATATGCCTTGTGCATTATGGTTCTTGCTGATATTCGGCATTTTCCAAAACTCCCATGGCCAAGGAGATTCCTTGAGAAGTGCGCTAAACGTCATCGACAGGAGACAAAGGAATATGGAGGACTATGACGAGAACGAGTACGGATATACCTTGGAGAGGCCAGAAGACATTGCATTCCTGAAAGCATCTTCAGGATACGGTCCAGGTAAGATCCACACCAGACAACCTGACCAATACTTAAATAACAATTTTGCAGATCGCACTTACGACAGAACGTTCTCCAACTATTTGAACGACGACAAATACGATACTGACATGAACAAGAGACTTTCTTCTTCCTCTTTCCGGGAGAGGATGACCGAGGAAGACAACCAGAAGCACATGGAAGAAATGGCACAAAATATGCTCGCCAACATGGATAGTAAAGGCAGATATGGAGTCGAAAGCGAAGACTACGACGAAATACTCAGAGAGCTCTACGATAAATACCGCAGATCTTACGAGACACCAAGAATGTACTCCTCAAGAGTCGACAAGAGATACATGTATCCTAGATTCGGATTGGACAGCGCAGGCTTGAGAAAGAGAACTGCTTACGCGAACGACCCTTACGAAGACGATACATACGTCGACGAAAACGAAGAAGAATACCCAACCAATTACTTGCGAAAACGTTACTACCAGAGAGATAACAAAATGAATAGACTAATGAAGATGTATTCCAATCCGTACGAGCAATCTAAGAGATTCCCTGTAGCAAAGAGGAGTAGTGATTACAAAGAAATCACCCACGAGCACAAGAGGTCAACCACAAAGAAACAAACTGACCCCAAAGTGGAGAAAGAGCTAAGCAACATTTTCGCGAGCGCCAAAGGCGAAACTACCACAACCAAGCCAGTAACTGTTCAAACCACTACCAAAATGAATGAGAGCGAAAATAAAACCGAAGTAGCTCCGAAAGAAATCAAAGACGATAAAAAAGTGAGAAGCATCAATAAAGAGCAGTTCACTCCGGTAGCTGCTGTCAGCGCCAAGCCCCTGCAGCTGAAAAAGAAATCCATAGACTGGTCCGACTACTTCGGGCTGGATCGTCGCAAGAAATCCTCGGAGCCCAACGATTTGGACAAGGAATGGTTGATAGAGAGGTACCACAAGTCGATCCAGATGTCGAAGAAGAGGAACGCCGAGCTGCCGCTGTCTTCCTTCAGGAACCACGACGAACCACCGAAGAAGGAACCCAGCCACAAGGATGCAGAGGAGCGGAGAATCGAAGAGATGGACTCCAAATTGCAACTGATGGAGAACAAAATCGTCGATGATACTTTGAAATACACGGGAGCTCATCAGGGCGACAACGATCCCAAGGAGGTGCAAGAAATAAAAGACAGAGTGATATCGAGGCTCGCGGCTGCGTACAGCTTGGAAAAAATGAGGAACGCTCTAGGAGAATACAGACTAGCTATAGCTAAAGAGAAGGAGAGACTGAAAAATAGGAGGCCAGGGCCAGAGGAAGAATTCTTTTCGGAGGAGAAAAGGACCGCCGTGCCCAGGAAACAGGTTATAGATAAAGACAGAGAGGATGTGAAAGAGGCTGACAACAACATTAAATGTACTGATGGAGACGAAGACTGCCATGAACAGAACTACAAAACACCAAATGAGATCATTGAAAGCCATTTTGGCACTGGTGAGTCAGAAGTCGAGGGTTACTATTAGAATAACTTTTTGGATTGCCTATTTCAGAAGAATGCCCACCAATACAGAGAGCCTGCAATGAAGTTGCTTCGATCGTTGGAGAATATGGACATGTGTTTGAAAGCGCTTGCAGTATGCACGAAATGTGTTTGTTATGTGTAAGTATAGATCACAGATTTTCAAAAAATGGCGTTGACAGGTTTCATTTGAGGAAAAAAATCACATTCGGAGAATACAAATCATTTTTGCGATATTTCGAACGTTGTATAATTTTACTACGCTATTTCGACGTGAGTGTGTGAACTGGGTTACTAAAATAAATTTGCAGGAAAGACAGTACACAAATATTGAATTCATTTCGAGTAATTTCATTGATTATAGCTGACCCAGCAAATATTGTTTTGCTATGTTTGTACATTATTTCTAGAAAAAATGTATAGAAGCGTGTTTTCTCAGTATTCTTCAAACTACTATTTAATTCATACTTCTCTTCAGTTCGATAATCTATCTCTTTAGTTTTCTGAACTACTATTTATTTTCTACTTCTTCTTAGTTTGGCTCTCTATGAAAGCGTGTTTAAATAGTTTTTCGAAACACTTTTCATGACGGAACTCGCTCGACATATTGAATTCGCCATTTTGAATTTCCATTATTTGACGAAAGAATCATAATCTCCGAACCCGAAAACCCCCAGATACCAATTTTGAATAGAATCGGATCATAATTACAAAACTCAATCGCCATATTGGATCCGCTATCTTGAATTTTCAAATTTTGAGAAAATAATCATAATCTCTGACCTAAAAAACCCCCAGATACCAATTTTGAATAGAATCGGATTATAATTACAAAACTCGTCCGCCATATTGGATCCGCCATCTTGAATTTATTAATGTTTTCTCTCATAATAGGAACCTTCTCCTACCAAACACAACAAAAAAATAATTAGTGAAATAGGTCAAGCGGTTTACGATTCTAGTAAGGACATACAAACATTCATTTTTATACAGGGTATCCCATCCCTTCCACCCCCATCTTTTGATCCATGACTTATGGGACACCCTGTATATATAGATGAAGAGAATTACAACAAAATTCAGTATGGGTGCTATGCCCTCATGTCCACCAGAGTTATCCAAATGGGATTGATTATCTGTGTTAGTAAAAAGATCCATAATTAAGATTATTGCTCCGATTTTTTTTTTCATTTTGAGTTTCTCACTTTGTACGATCCACCTGCACCAAGATGGTGGACGATCCTGAACTCTTTTGGCCGATTCTCCTCAAAATTCACAGCTTCTACTTTTCAAAATTTCGGAATATGAGAATTGATGCTAACATAAGTAATATTCTTTCAATCTGAACTAACTGAAATATTTCACTAGAACTGAACTGAATCGTTCTTTCGAATGACGTTCATTATGTATAATGCATGTCAACTGATTCAGTTCAGTTCAAGTAAAATGTGTCAGTTAGTTCAGAATGTAAGAATATCACTATAGTTCATACGGCTAATAATCTCGTGTTTTCAGAGTAATAACAGTTGGTTCTCTCCAACACGCCAGTGTAACTCACTGTTCTTGGCTAAGGCCTATGACATGTGCAAGGACAACCTGGAATGCCAAAAGGAGGCTCAACGATCTGTGAGGTATTTGCTAGAGGTAAATCGTTCCCTGCACACCGATCCGTCAGCATTGAACGATTGTGAATTGTCCTGTCCAGAAACAGACAACGTTTCAGAAACTAATTTGAGATAAACTGTCTGTCCATTAGGTGTTTTACTCAAATGATGTAAAATCTATGTGATTTCATACGAAAATTGAAAATGACATTTTGGTATTCCCTTTTCGAATTTTGGTTCACGAAATTGTTATGCATTGCCACGGTGTGTACTACTATGATTTTGGAACACACTGTGACACAAGGGGTCTGATAATCACGATGACAAAAAAATTAGTAGTAAAAATGTGTAGATCAATACTCAGTTTGTGCTCATCTGTCCAATTTAATCGATTTTTCTGGAGAACGATTAGGTTCATCGATATCAAATAAGAGGAAATCATTGTGATGGTACTTATAACTTGAATTTTTTTAAATCCTTTACCGCTGGAGTTTTGCTATAGTCCGTCCCTACTTCCCTATTAGCAAGAAAATCTCATACTCATACATACTAATATATTTTCACTTGTACTATTCAATTCTGAGTTTTGGTCGTATACACTTATGGAACACCCTGTATACTCTTAGGATTAACTTCCTTGAACTAGTGTAGTTTCAATCTCGTAATACAGACAATAAAATTAATGCTTTGAAGGGACAATCAAAAATGTTCGTTATGTGTCAGTCAGGATTCTTGTTTCGAGGGCTTCTCTTCATGCACCCTTTATTCGAATACTTGAGTTGGGATGGCACTGGTTTTCAATGAATGATTCAACTTTCACAACATTGGCACTATACAGTTACCGCCTTCAAATATCTCACAAGATCATATTTTCCCTCTCGTTTTTCTCAATGAAAATGTGAGGAAAAAATCTCTCCAATTAATTCACTTTCTGCCTGTATTCATAGTAGTGATACTAAGATTCTTCTCCATTGAGCCTACGAAACAAATTTCGCCTACCTTGCAGTTTTTGAGATTATGATACCTTCCGATTTAATTGATTTCCCAAATATGGCAAGCCTACTGTTTATTCCTATTATTGAAAAAATGAATTTCATGAATCAATCGTTAAAAACGTATTCTTCTTTTAATATTAGTGAATAAGTCCACTTCGAGTACTGATGTAAACAGAAAGATTCTTTGGAGTAGTGCATTCAAAGGACCCCGCACCATTCACATTGAAATCTTGTCTACGGTGAAATTTTGTGAAAATTTAGGATTGGATAGATCAAATTATACTGAATAAGAAAGGTCCTTTGGTCCAAGGTCCGTTATGCCCGTTAAGAAAAGTTATATATAGGCGCTTGAAGCCAAACGAGATAACCTGCTCTATCAGAACAGCACATCCTGTGTATAATATGGTTTTGGCTGATATTATATTTTTGAGTTGTCAGTACAATAAGTCACTAAGCAAAGCGTATTACTTTGTTCAAATACGTTGCAGGTCTCGACCGGGGACTATTAGTGGTCTTTCCGTAAAACGTAAGGGATAAAAATATCATTTACAATATAATCATTGACTCTAGCAACTAAAGATAGGTGATGAAGAGATGAAGTAAATTATTATTTGCGCCACAAAATATGCGCACTCTTGCATGGATGGAAAAGTCAAGATTCAGGTTAATATAGAATGAACGTTATACCGAATTCCAAGTTCCTCTATAATGGATCAATTATAGTTCAGAAATAAACGGGTATGATCGGTTAGGGGTATAATATCCTCTCTTCCTAGAACCCGTCCACGATGTATTGCGATTGCTTGCTGCTCAACATTTTGATCTCGATCGATGCGTGCCATAGCATATTGCCTTCGTTATCGCATATAAAGCAACGAAACCTATTCTGGATAAGCCATCTTATATGTATTCGAACAAAGTAATACGCTTTGCTCAATGACTTTTACCATTATCTGACAACTCAAAAGTATCATATTAGCCACACAGGAAACAGGATGTGCTGTCCTGGTAGAGGTTATCTCGTTTGGCTTCAAGAGCTTATAACTTTTTTTAACGGGTATAACGGACCTTGGACCAAAGGACATTTCTTGTTCAGCATGATTTGATCTATCCAATCCTAGATTTCCACGAAATTTCACCGTTGACGAGATTTCAATGTAAATGGTGCGGGGTCCTTTTTCCACTAGTAGTTGAATTTGAAACTGGGTCTTGGTATACCAGGGAATGCCAGAGGTTCTGCACATAATCAGCTAACTTCGAGACAAATTTGGATCATCAACTTTAAGATGGCCATAACATGCCATAAGATATATGTTTTCCTTGAACTACTACAGTAGCATTATTCCCCGTCCCCCCACCAAAAATTAGTTATCGAAAACTGGCAGAGACAATTCAACATAATGTGGGCTGTTCGAACTCAGATTTCAGAGGCCTTTCGAAACAAGTTAGAAAAACGTTTTTAATTGAAATTACAAACTTATTGCACTGTCTACGTCTCTAAGTGAATCACCCTTCATTCCATTAATAAATTAATTGAATAGTTTATTCGATGGGACGATTTGAATGTTCCAAATAACTGAAGAGTATTGGTAACAATGTGAAAAGTAAGTATCTGACAGCTGACAATAATTGCAAAAAGAACAGTGAAAGAAAAATTTTAAAAAATATGTTGATTTTTCTTTTCTCGAGAAGCAAAAGTTACTAATAGTCCAAAACATATCTAATTCCATTTCGTCGAGATCTCTTGAAATTGCGGTGACTTTTCCGTCATCGACTTGTATCATATTGTAAGTTTAATTTCAATTTGAAATCATGTATTCTCATGTTTATCACAAGTATTAATGTAAGAATTGGTCGAATCCAGGTGTTGAAGAAAATAAAATTGAGATGTTTAAATCAACGGCACCTGGGAGTGACTACTAACCATACCGGGTGATTATATCTCCTCTGATATTAACTTCAGACCATACAGACCTCGAAATATTTTTAATATTACAAAAATTGAGCATAACTGTCGAAGTTTAAGTGGAACACTCCGAATATTTCGTCATTAGCAAATTCATTCTTCCTGTCACATATTGAGTGTGATATAGTCAGAGAGGAAAGTTTTTAAGATTTTATATTACATACGAATCTCTATCAAACCTGGCATTGATGAAATTTTAATAATATTCCCAAGGCGAATATGAAATATTCAGGATTTTCCATTTGGATTTGGGGAGTTGAGGTTTTTTTCGCTGAAACCGGAAAAGCCTACCCTAAGGATCGATGAATGAATCAGGTCTCACATACATGGCTAACCACCCGTTGAAGATACTATCAGGTACCTATATTACATACTACGTAATATGGGAAGCTCTAAAAGTTTCATAATATCTGAACGATACATTTTTTTTTAATAATTATAGTACCAACGTGAGGTTTTTGACTTCGGTATCGAATCACATGGACAAATTGTACGTCTTTCTTTTTCAAAAAACAGATGCCTGAAACTGAACTTTGTTCAATGCTATTATCACTGTAACCTATTGTATGTATAGTTGAATGTAGCTTCAGAGAGAAGAATATTTAAATATTGTTGTTATTTAATGAAATATATAACCTAATTGTTTCAATAAGACTATTATCTAATACTAAAATGTATTTGGTTGGTAAATGTATCAGTTAACTTAGATTTTCTGACGGACTACCACATCTATTGTTTTTCGTTTTAATGATTCATGAAATGCTGCATTTTTTGGATTTGAGGATTTTGTAAGGGATCAAAGATCATTAATATAATATTGAAATGGAAAATGCAGCCTCAATAACTCCTTAATTTCTCTATATTTTTCTATTCGTACTTTTGTGATCGTTTGTATTGTTAAGAATTCTAATAAACGTGATAAACAGTAATGATCTTATTCTCCAGCTTCCTGAAAGTCGTCGAAAAAATTAATTATTATGAAACATTTGCGTGTTATTCTACAGCGTGTTTCAGATTCAAATCGGCAAAATTTGGTAGGCAATAATACTCGCAAAAATGAGAAAATATCATATATTTTTGTATGTTTGTATGTCGTGTTGACGTTAGAAATATTATTTGACTTTTTTCATCATCACCCTATATAAACTTTCATGATCCAAAAATTCAGTCTGGTCGGTGAATGACAAATTCTCAAAATCTCCAAATTATACTTATTATGGCTATCAAGTGATTGTCAAACAAAGTGTCACATTTATCCTAATAAAACAATGTACTATATCCGATCACAATCTGATATAATAGCGAATACGTGAAGACTTTCAAATGGTAAGTTTTCAAGATGTTTGAGAAGATTTTGAATCTGTATAACATGCTTCTAAGGGTATTCACTACATTTTGTATATGTTTGTCCCATCTGAGATGTTGGTCAATTGTTGTACCTAGATATTTTATTTCGTTAGTTGTTTGTATATATTTCCATTGATTCATTATTAATTTCTATCGAGAGTCTATCAAAATCTGGAAGTTTATTTTTATAACTGGCATAGGGCACCTCTATAATCACGGATGATCATCATACTTGTTTACAGGACATGAAAAAACTTGCAAAAAGATTACACCAATGAAACAATGAGCATCAGAATAATACATATAAGATTAGATTAGAAATGATAACCCATATCATCTGAACCGATTACGAACAAGGTTCCTGATTCATCCCAGTGTTAGTGTACCCATGTTTATTTGTAGTCATCATAAATATCGACGAGGCAATAATCCAATCGAATCATGGAAGGTAATTTCATAAGTTTCATCTCCACTATACCTATACCCATACTTACAAAACTAAAACCATCAAAATTACACTTACCTACTTGCCTGCATTCATTCTGTCAGTACCTATATCTACCTATATAGATCTATAATCACACACTTAGGATAGGAGCATGTTTTAGAAGAAACAATGAGATATAATTTTAATATCAATGAGTTCCTATTCAGAAAAATATGGAATATTGAGCCATGATGTCTGTTGAACTTGATGATTTCCTTTTACCTACCACAACATAGACCCCAAATGCGCAAATAATAATAGATGAAAACTTGTGTGTGATATTTTCTTGGTGATTTAGGTGCTCTGATTAATTTTTCAATTCATCAAGATATGACCTCATTCATCAGGGATATCATATTTGTTCTCCATATCAACCCCATACAGAGTGACCCTTTGGAAATCGGGCCACCCTCATAATTTTTTCAACTTCACAATTTTTTTCAAGTGTAGAGGTGTATTTTGGAGCTAAGAAGGCCTACTAGATCACATTCAGTGGCTGAAAATACCAGAATCCATATGAGCGATATTTTTAGGAAAAATCCGCGTACACTACTGGAATCGGCGTCCTCCAGAATAATTCTGTATCAAATTTCATGAAAAAATATATTCAACATTAACGAATCAACAGCGTGTCTCATTTCAAACGCCCCCTCCCCCTCAAAAATACCTGAGCTGATCAATACGAGCAGTTTTGCAGAGACGAACATCATGTTGGACAGTGCCGTGCTTTCGATTTTTCTGCAATCATATTAGGAATTTTTTCGCAGGGAGACGACTAACTTCATATTATTGTTTCTCATGCTTCCGAACCTCCATATGCAAAAAATCACTTCCAAATTGAGAGAATTTGCATCATCTTTTTCATTTTTATCCTCGAGAAAATAGTGGATCCAAATTAACTGCAAATTTTGGCTAGCTCCGGTAGGTAAGAAATCGTGATTTGAATGAAAAAAATAAGAAACACTATTTTATGTTGTACTCACTGTTTCCGAGTAAATAATCATTACCTATACTTTGGCAAAAATGCTGTGCAGATATGCCTGTTTTTTTTAAACCCTTCATAGGAATCATATGAAAATCTACATATGGCGATTGGAAACTATGAAGAACAATAATATGAGGTCAGTTTTCCAGGAAAATCCTAATATTTCATAAAAAATTTACCCCTTTTCATTTTAATTAAAACGCACTGCACTGTCCAAAACGATGTAGGTATGTCTCATAATGATGGTCATTCATACCAGTACCAATTTGGTAAAGATCGCAAGACTAATAGCTGAGATAAAGAGGGGGGAGGCGTTTGAAAAGAGACACGCTGTAGATTCGATAATGTTGAATATTTTTTCATGAAACTTGGTACAGACTTATTTCAGAAGATGCCCATTCCCGTGGTGTAGGTACGCTGATTTTTTCAATTGCTAATATGGAAAAATGGACGCCGCTCAGCTCCTGGCGAATACACCTTTTTCCCCTCTACTACATAGGAACCGAGATAGGAACCTACCTAATAATATTACTAAAAAATTATTGGGGTCTAAGTATGTCCTTTGTTAGAAGGAAAACATCAATACTTAAACAGTGAAACTAATTGTGTGTTGCAAAAATTCACCTAGGAATGAAAAATATTGAGCGGACCTGATACAATTTCAAAAACTTGAGGAGACATATTTTTCAGATATAGCATTGCGTGAATACTCCAACAACTTGACCCGATTTCGAGAAAACTTAGATTTGAGTTTAGATACAGGTAAATCAGTCACAGATGATATTCAATTTTCAGTGATAAATTGCGTGTGGTGAAGGGCTTTGGCTTCATTGTACAATGTGATAAGTAATTTGATTAGGTGTCAAATCAAAATATAAAACAATAATTTTCATTAGAAAAATACCTAGTAGGTACACTTTTGGATCCATATCCAGTCCAGTGGTACACTGCTGGGTCACAGATTAACAAACATTAGTCTTGACTCTTGAAGGGGGAGCATGTGAAGCAGTTTCAATACCTACCGAATTAACGGATTGCCGCAAGTATACCAATTGACTACTCAACTACGAATTTATTTCAGAATGTTGAAGAATGAAGAACACACTTGCAAAGTTGCAAAACAGAACTCCTCCCCCCATCGCCCCTAAATACCAAAGTGCTAAAATTATTATGAATATAACATTGTGGACGATACTCATTTTGTGATAATTAATAAGGACTCATGTGATGATAATGATAATAGAAACTCATTCGATTTTTCACCTAAAAGTAAATTAAACATGCATTGCGGGTTGCGGGTCGCGGGGCTGGCGAAATTCTGTTGGTTCAAGGTGAAATTCCTTCATGCACATTGTCAAGATGGGAATGATGGGATGGATTCTAATGGGAATTCAGGAATTTCGGCATCTGCTTATTGCCATAGTTAATATTCATCAGCTTTGTGATTTACCACTATCTCATCTGATATCAGATGTCCATCCTGGCCCAAGTCTACTACTTTGATATAATCGAAATAAATATTTCCGAGGGTAGGTATTTCGATACACCACCCCAGGGATCCAGTGCTGTCTGGATCCGCGCATGATGAAACGGCACCGAAATCATTTCAATGTTGCTTCAATTACTTGATCAACACTATTAATAATTATATTAGGTACTTACCCGTAGGTACAATTGTAAAACAAAAATAAATACATATTTGGCACTATAAAACTCACTTTGAAACATGTTCATTCAAGTTACCGGTCTTCTCAGAAAAACCGTTTGAAATAGAAAACAGGAAAAACAAAACACTAGCGACATCTACAAGATTGAGAAAACAGTTGAATAACTTTCGGCACAGATTAACAAACTTAGGCAAACTTCCAAACTCTTGATCATTCTCAATCTCGACAGCGCAAGCGCAGCAGCATCACTTGGCAAATTTTAATTTTGATGGTGAAACGGTTTTCTAGTTCATCTGTTTTTAATTCCCAAAAATCTATAAAGTTTAAACTTTTTGTGTATATTATGCTTCAACTAGTCGCAAGTATATTGATATTATTATCATCATACAATATTTGTTGAAATCTCTATCTCTATCATAAAATATAATTAGAAAATCTAGAAATAAAAGTTTCACTTTTCCAGTGTTTTCTCACCCAAATTTTGAGCAGCCAGTTACCGAACAGCCGCAGCCAATAATAGGCAGAGGTGAGCAATTTCAACTTCTAGAGCATGTTTAAAAAAATACCCATTCTTTCAATTCTTATACAGTACATTAAATTTTTGTGCAACTTTCAGACTTTACTGGAACAAGAAGACCTATACCAGTTGCAGTGATCGATCGAAACATCACAAGAACTTTCTCACCTTTGTCTGGTCTGGATTTTTTAGATGATGTCAACCAGTTGATCATCCAACAAAACATAGAATTAGCTGACTGTAAGTACAAAATCTTATATGTTGGCCTGCTTTTATTACTGCTGAGAGTTTTATGCACTTTAACTCTCCTCAGTGTAATGAAAACCACTAGTTAACTGCCTCACTGTTGATATACCACAGTACATTTTATTCTTTCATGAAAGGATAATATACTGTGATATGACTATGAGTATCTATAAGTAGCATGACATTTTCAGAAAATCAGCCCTACTAATTCATTTCGAGATTATATAAAACAGTTATGTACTTGAGATGTGAAAATGTAAAAGTCCCTTATAGATTTATTAGACCTAGAGTTCCATCTATAATTTGTCATGGTCTGTTATTTCAGTTGATTAGGTTGTCCCTTGTGATTAAATATTTGCTTCAGCTTTGCTTTGCTGTTAGATGGATGTGTGTCTTTCACCTCTTTTGTTGTGATGTTTTTTGTGCACTGAAAAGTAAGTACACCTTTGTGATTTTTTTGTGATGTTTTGTGTTTTGTTATTTTTCAATTTCTCCCTCTTATAACCTAAGTAGAGTCATTGAGTTGGTACTGTGTGGTTGTAGTAATGGAAAATAGGTCTTCTGGTAACAGATATGCTGTGAAAGTCCCAAGAGGAGACACAATATACTATGCCACAGAAAGCTCAGGCAGATTCCAAAAATCATGTTGTGGATCTGGAAGGAGTTTCAGTATGAGGTTATATGATAAATCACAACAAGAAGCCCTTATTTTTGACAGACGCCTGGCTTGTGGTAGTTGCACATTTTGGTGTTATTTACAGGTAGAGAATTTTACTATTATCCTTCAAAAGAGATATAGTGGCATAGTTTGCTTTATTTCAGAGGATGCAGATTTGGTTACCATCTGGAGAACTAGTAGGAGCTGTTTTTCAAAAAACCTCTTTTAGAATGAAATCACTTTTCAATGTCTACAACACACATGATGAACTGATTTACAGGATAGAAGGCCCAAGTTCTTTTGGATGTTTGATTGGTAAAGCAGATAACTTCCAGGTGATTATTTTTCATCATGTAAAATGACATTGTACAGGGATGGATCATCCGTATTCTGAATAATATGAATGATCAGGTCACTGTTTGAAGAATTTCCAGAAACCAAATATTCATATGTTCTCAATAGTGGCTATTCTAGATTTTGACTCAGAATTATTTTAGATTTACAATTTTGATGGCTCCATGCAAATTGGTAGTATCATATACCAGTGGGATCAAATTCAAGTGTCTTACAACATATTACTTCAAATGCCAAGCAATATAAGGAATAACAAGTATAAAGCCCTATTATTGGGAGCTGCCTTTCTTCTGGTGAGACTCATTCAACTAAACAGTTGATCAAATGACATGACATCATCATTTATTTTTCAGGAATATATGTATTTTGAAAGTTCCAAAAACAAGTCAAGGTGCCTGTGTTCATGTTGAGTGAGTGATACAGTGAGAAAAACTTTTATTATGGATCAATGAAATGAAACTATGTTTTCTTGTTTTATTCATGTATTGTAATTGCTTGTAGGACCATAGCTACAAATAAACTTTTAAAACTATCAAAATATCAAGTTGAAATAAGTTAACGTAAACAACAAAAATGTACAGAGTTTATATATAAAATATTGATACTAAATTACATAAAAATACAACAAACCCGGATTATATAAAAATTGATTGAATATTTTTCCCATGAAGGTTGATCAAAATATCATTTAGTTTTCTTTTATTTACATTATTAAATAAATGTACAGGTAGGTGAATGAATACCAAATGACCAAAACGTAAGATTTTGATTATTAGCAAATGGCGTTCTATTTCCATTAAAATTCTTCATGTAGCATTTATTGAAACAGGCAAATTTGAAACAAATAGAGGATTCATAGGTGAAAACATTGCATGTCTCATGTTAGAGAATTTATGAATGTTCAACCAATGATTTAGATTCTCTTATTGTATTTTTCAAAATGAATCAGGGTGTGGCTGGTGAACTGGTAATACCTCATTTAAAAAATACCATTTTGGTCACTTTCTTTGATCAATTACTTCACTTATACCGGGTGTAAAGTTGTTTAAAGCCGTTGGAGCTGAATTGTAAAATTATAAAATTAGATAGGCAGGTATTTAGTGAGTTACTTTTTCAGATTTATGATAAAATTGGAAATATTGAAAAGTCAATATAATCCAGTTAATTCAAAACATGATTCATAAATGTAGTAGTAAGTCTATAATGAGTTTGTGACTATTTGGAATGCGATATGATTTCAATTACAAAAAATTCCATGAATTGTTTCACTTTTTGACATGATCCAAATACCAGAGTTATTTTGTACAAATAATAATTTAATATTATAAATAAACGTTACATCAAGGTAATATAATACAACTATCTTATAATTTATAACAAACTGGACAGAATGATTCAAAATGGACAGGAAAAGGTCTAGTATTTTATTCTGTTGACTGAAAGTGACAATTGAAGATTTTTAAATGATAAACAATTAGGTATTTTCTAGTTATACCTTACCATAGCCATAGTGGTTGAATCATTTATCATTTACTTCAATTTCAGTCAGTGGACGACTAAACCTCAAACTCGCTGAGCAAATTAACCACAGAGACTAGATCATATTGCGTTCTTTCAAAGAAAAATTTTTGATGGAATGTTCCAGTGATAAAAGTGCGAAAAACTGAATTGATGCAGCCAATTTTCCACATTATCTTAGCTGCAAGTTCATCTTGGAATGTCAGTTCTCATTAGTCCGTCATAGAAGAGACGGGAATCATTGATTGGTTCGGATTTCACTATTTTGGACCTTTAATTTTGGAGTAGTGTTTGACAAATTTCACAAAAACTCATTTTATATATCACCGCACCGATTTCAATGAACGAAAAAAATCGAAATAGAATAATTATAAATATCACAGTTACTAGCACATAACTGAGTTGTTAAGAATACTGCAAAATCAATTCTCCTACAACCCAAACTTACTTATTTTCATTTCATTGAACAGATACCATCTAAAAATGTGGTTATTGAAACAGTTTGAAGACAATAACTATATGTGGAGTAGCACTCGAGGTTCAGAGCAATTTGAGAATTTGTCCACAAATGAACTATCAACGTATCCTATCTCCTATTAAATTCGTAATATTGCAGCTAAGTTTGTAGGCTGTATCAGTAAGTTTTCAAGCCAAACTAAAAAATGGGCGTCAAATCGAAGTACTACTATTGTGGCTATTTTGTTATTCTTAACACTACTGTTTTTTTGTTTTCTAGAGACACACAGAATTAGATAAATACACTTGTCATAAGCTACATTTTCTCCTAATACAGATACATAATTTCTATTTATTCTGCACGCAAAAAATATGTATTAAAATTCACATAGAACCAAATTGCTCTGTGTACACTAATTATATCACAGAAAGAAATGCTTAAAGTAAAAAAAGATATTCGATAGGGTAAACTGGACAACATAATTATGTGCAAATTTTTTCCCATATTTGCTCATTGTTCTTTAAGATTCGTTCCATACTGACTGTTAATCTTGTTGGGTAGTATATTGCCAAGTTTCCCTATAGATCTTCAGGGGTAATCATGTTTCATGAGACTGATCATCTTCCCTGATCTTCCTTTTTTCTTCATCTTATCGGTCATTCTCAAGACTTACATAACAACCTCTTCAATCTGTACCAACTTTTAGGAGGTAGATATCTGGCTGAACTTAAGTGCTTGCGTAACAGAGCGAAAATATAACGTGTATATAATTAATAATCATGATTCCATAAGGTTACAATGAGAGAACGGGTAAAAAATTATATCTTCTCGTCAAAAAAATAATCTGAGTCTCATTGTAACTTTGATAACATGAAGGCATTGAGGTGTGGAAGATTGCAATAAAATAATTTGACAGAAACAAGCGGAGTGCTCGCCTTTTTTTTTGGAAGTGCAATTAACTGAGAATACGTGATATTTTTGTTTATACGAAAATGGCAAGGATGATTAACTATGCCATGTATTGATGGACGGCACATTATACAATTTGTGACGCAAACACGGCTAATGGCAATAGGTAGGGTGGACTTGGGACTAATGGGGGTGGATGGTCGATGTTCTTTTTTGGTTCTATTTGGCCTTAGAACTCGTTCGGTTGCCCACTGTGTTCAAACCGTTTCCACGTGATCGAGATCTTGACAATGTATCTACAAAAAGGTTTTTCTCATTGAATAATCTCAAATATCCAGAACATCAAATCATAGATTTCCAATAATTGATTATAGAGGGAGTTGAAGATAATTGAATGCAAATGTTTTGAGTAGAATGTATGAAGAACTATATTATGTATATCATGATAACAAACATTTTGAACAAAAGTTCTCTAAAATGAGCCGAAAAAAAGATGAAGGTACAATTTGATAAACAAAAGGATTGTAAAAACCTCACAAACGATAAGATTTCCACAAAATTCGCCAACACAATAGCTTCGTCAGGTGATATACTGGTACGATGAACCAAACTAACATTGGCTTGCTTATAGATCCTACTTTCCCAACCTGAAGGATTAGTTACCTGTGGACAGGTTCGATAAACCTCCTTTTTCGGAAATTAGGCAAAATATCTACATCAACATACGGTATATAGGATTTACTTGAAAGGGTTGAATCAAATACATATTATTACTTACTAAGAAAACAAATTCAACAGTAGTGAACTATTGAGGTCTAATTGATCGTTAAGTAAAATATCCGAATTTTTGAGTTTGTTGATTTCTAATGATTCAAAATGAAAACAAATTCAACATACGCCAACCATATATTAGAAAAAAACCATAGTTTTGATAATGATAATTTCGAAATTCTACACGTAGAAAATAAAGAAATGAACCTCAATCATTTTGAATCAGTTCGTCGTACCAGTATACCTGACGAAGCTATTGTGTTAGCGAAACGTGTGTTTCAGAATTCTGTGGAAATCTTATCGTTTGTGAAGTTTTTACATTTGCCATGGATTTCCATCAAGCAACGGCCGAGTAAATTAAAAAAAAAAGGATTGTTTGATAAGATTGGTTTGGTCAATTTCTTTTTGGAGAGACTTCTGAGAGTGTAGTGTGCTCTAATTGTTTTTTGGCAGTTGAATTAGTGACATCATTGAGTGAGAAAACGATATGGTTAATTTGAGTGTTAGATATTTGAAAAATTTGGAGTTAACATACCTTTGTTGAGTGAACATTTATTGCTGTTGGCAAGAGTTTCAGCCTTATCTAAGCGCATAGCACGCCCTCTTCTGTCCAATCTTATTTTATCGGCTCTCACGAACATCCCATGATTCGGCTTGCAGGTAAAGTAGCGAATGCCCTTAACACTGCCATCATTTTTACCTGCGAGGGACGAATGTCATTAGAATTCAGACCATACAATGTCCACTCTAAAGGCCGTGTCTCACGGTCCAACAATTTGATCAAATTTGTTTGATGTGACGTCATTCTTGCCTGTTTGACTCAAATGGTTGGAAATGCCAAGAAATCCTCGTCACACGATTTGAAGATTTTTTATCAAAAATATTGACTTAGTAGGTTTTTTGAAATGGAGGAAAATCACAAGAAAAAATCAAATACAAACTTATTATATATTAGGTATTTTGTGCTGTAGGTATTTGTAATACAGAGAGTGATTAAAAAAAAGAGGGAGATATGGACAAGACAATGACTTCAAATAAGAAGTATTGGTAGAGGAGTCCTACCTATGATTTTTGATAATGTTAGAATGGAAGATCTTAATAGTTTCCAAAACTACCTAAGAATGGATGAGAGATGTTTCAGCTTTTTATTGAATAAAATCAAGCCATATATATTGATAAGTCCCTAGTCAAAGTCAACCTAACATAAATTTGGAATTGGAGCAAGACAAAAATATTCCTATAATTATCCAAAATGGTCCTCAGTCCAATTACCAGTGTACCAGCCAGCATTTTTGAAGTAGTCATAATATCAATGATAGTACCAATTTCTTATTAATTCCTAATTGGTGGACCGTGAGAAACGGCCTTAAGGATACACAAACCCTGTGAAACTTGAATTTTTTGATCGATCGAGTTTTTTTGTTTCACGGGTGGTAAACCCCTAAGACGCTGTAGATTGTGTTCCTGTAATGTTCAAGGTAGAAGGTATGCGTACTGACCTTTGGGTGCATCTAATTCTACACCAATCCAGGTACCATTGGCAAAATCTGTCCCTCCTATGTAAGCAACTATCCCAGTGGAGCAGTAGGGTTTGATCTGGACGCTTTCACCTAGAGTTACCCAATCAGGGACGGGAACATCATGAATTTTGGAAAGATCTGGGCGGGACCCAAAATTGCTCTCATGATCATCTGAAAAAGTTCAATCATCATATGCGATGGGAGGAAGGAAAATATCTCTTCTGCATAAGAAACCTTCCTTAAAAGTATATTTTTCGGAAAATCGCTTGAGAAATCATAATTTAAAAAAATCGACCGTCGAAGGAACTGAATCAGGATCGGCGGCATGGAATTTGAACGCTCAACAAATTATTCACGGAGGTACTTGAAAATTATAGTTTGAAGAAAGAACGTATTGGATGGCCACATTTTTTTTATTGCCTAAATAGAATCATCACTCAAATACCGTTCGATTTCATATTTTTTTAGGATTTTTCCTGTTCGTGAAATGACCTCTGATATTCAACGACATAGACATAGACTCATTATGTACCTAAAAAAAGCGTGAGAAGTGTTAAAAAAATAATTTAGGTCCCTAACGACACAGTGGATTAATTGAATGCCAATAATACAGGTCGTGGAAATAAATTCTAAATTTAGAAAACCTAATTTGGAGTATTTGTTGCACAGTCCATATACTTTTGTCAACACGCAGGCACATCTTTAGGATTGCTCTGATTGGTCTATAGGAATCGCAAAACGGTTCGTGCTCTTGAATTACCTTCTAATCTATCTGTGGAACTGTCCATACTGTCATCTTCTGCGGACAACAAGTTGTTCTTGCTGCCCAAGTTGTGGGCAGATTTGCTCTCGGACAATCGCGATCTCGCTTGTGGGAAAGAGGATCTATGAGACTGCTGGGAGCGCGTCTGTTTTTTTCTGCGAACCACTCGACCTGGGGACAGATTGGTTTTGACGAGGGAACCTGATTCTCTCAGCTCATTCCCGGGCTGATTTTGATTCGTGTCGCTATCGCCGTTGACCACATCGTCTGAACTGTCTTCGTTATTGGTCGATCCATCTGCTTGGTCTTCGGGGTTCGAGAAACTCTGCAATGGTCTCCGTGATCAATAAAACCAGATAACATACATGAGAAGGGACGTTTCGATGAACATTGGTCTGGACATCGTTTTTCAAAATTCACGGTGATATTGAATTCAAATTAAGGCTCAAAATTTCAATGTAGATTTCAATGGAATATTCCAAGGAAAATCTAAACAGAATCGTTTTGATCTTCATATCACGTGACCTGTAGGAGCAAACATCTATTTTACTAGTAAGAATCCAAAGAAAAAACATTGATTAAACCTTGAACAATGTTGAAAGGGTACAAAATAATCTAGTCAACAAGACATGTCTACACAAGAGATACAGATTTGGTTGAATGGGAAAAAATTTTGTGCGGTTGAAGGACCAATAAAATGACTTTCGAAAATGCTCGATGTAATTTTTTGGCCTCGGGTTATTTTGAAAAAACTGAATTTCTGGATTTTCAATTCAATTTTTGTATAGCTCTGATAATGAATTTATGACAAAACTGAAAGAACATCTTCATGGCAACTTACATGGATCTCATAATTCTGTGAAAAAAGGTGTTTCCATCAAACTGAACATAGTTGCAGTTTTTTTGGAATACGTTAATCTATACTAATATTAGAAAGAGGGAGATTGTTTGTTCATTTGTATGGAATAGGCTCCGATACCATTAGACTGATATTAAAAATATTGTTACACAAGGCAGATCAATAAGAAATGTAGTTGAAAATTTTACACTATCTAATTTCTAGGCTAATACTCAAAATACCGTATAAGTGTTATATATTTTTGGAAACCACAAAGCATCAATAATTCAAAAATGAAAAAATATACAGGGTGTTCCATTTAAAAAAAACATAACTTCGGGTTATATCTAAATCATAACAGCTTATTTTGAAAATTTGACTACGTCACTGGATTCCACGTGAAAAACTGTATAAGTGCAGACTTCTCTTCTCCTATAAGTTGAAAGATAGCTGAGATACAGGGGGGGTCCCAAAATGAAACAATTTCAATTTTACCCTGTATATCAAAAACGGAGCGGGCTATGAAAATTTTCTTTCTTTTCGCGAAAACCGCGAATCAATATCGTCAAAAATAAGTGAGACACACCATGAGGATATCGAAAATGGGACAGCCTGTACAGTGAAAAGTTAGATTTTTCCAAGAAAATATCAATTCAGATTGAAAACTGAACCTTTCCTGACCCATGTTCACAGAAACTTCTCTTATTTTGTCGATTAAGAGCTAAATACCCCGGGAGTTTTCACCACCTTTTGTCAAATACCTTCTCTGGCAGTTGGTTACTTACGTTGACTTCTTTATCGAGATCAGTCGCCTCCGATACTGGCTCCAAGTCGGTTTTGCACTCGAGATCAGGCGTTTCGTCGATGCTCATGCTCTTCAGGGATATCGAATCGTCGCTTGACAGGTTGGTTTGTGAAACTGCTTGAGATCCATACCCACTCGAGCTCGATGAGGGGGTGTTAGGTTTGGGAGCGAATTCTGTCAGGGAATCGAGAGTTCGAGACATTGGTAGACTCTTCTTAGCGTGGTTTTTCTTCCTCTGAACGTACTGGAATTTATAGGGTGCTGTAGAATCATTCAACGACCGTGTCCTTCAGGAAGTACGCATAAAGTCTAGGTTAACCCATTAACGGCTAGCGTCCTCATTTGAGGACGGTTTGTTAGATCAAAGGTTACTGTAGTTGTTCGGGTTATGTTGTTTCAGTGGTAATTACTCACGTGTACTTCAGTTTGTCCATTAGCACCTTCTTCATTTTGTTCTTCGATAGGGTCGTCCATTAGTATATCAAACGAATGTTTTCGTGGCATAGTTTTAGTTGGTTCTTCGTGAAGAGTGGTCATTCTCAAGCTTAGCTTTGTGTTGGCAGGCGATGCCATTCCCGAAAACACTGTAATATTACTTCATGTTAATGTAGCTCCAACTTTCAGTTGAAATTCGAATATAATAAAACAAAAGGATAATTACTACGGTCTTGTGTAACTTAGGTTTTAAAGTTCAGGGAGTTGAAAAACTTGGTGTGAATTTTTACCAGTGATTGGGTTTGATTGATTGATCTTGATACATTAAAGCAAAATTGCATGCTAGATCTTGACAAAGAAAAAATAAAAAGAGGACGATAAATGAACAAATATTTCTCCAAGTACAGCCTGAAAATATTTGTTCAAGATACGTAAGGAAAAAATTATTAAAACGACTACACGAATTTTCTAGCGATTAACATACGTTTTGTACTTGTAGGCTGTTGCAACCTCAATGAATTCAAGTTCAAGGTGAGGTTTAAGAACGTTGGCCGGGCTGAAATATCAAAAAACTTTTTAACAAATCGGTCTCTGTCTAATTTTCTGCGTGCTTTTTGGACATTACGTAATTTTCATATATAGTGACACAGGTATCGTCTTAAAGCCAAAGAGACGTAGTTCCGATTTAACAAATAACAGATCATGCAGGTTAGCCAATTGTCTCCGAAGTTAATTCATTCAAATTTTCAACGAAGTAAAATTTCTTGATGAGCTCTCGTGATGTATACTGGGATGTCACAGAGCTGCGCAGGAAAACATATTTTGTTGATAATTTGTAATCAAACAGGGTTTGGTTTGGTTGCCAAAAATTAATTATGACGTATAGAAAATCTTCAGTTGCATTAGGTACTATGGCATCATGCACATTTTTTTTGATTACACAGAAAGTTAACATGAATTGTATTTACAAGCCATGTACAAGCTATTTATATATAAACAGTTTTTCATCAAATATGTTGACGAGTCACAATAAAATTAATAATTTTGGTAACCAATGGAAACCCTGATAATTTTTTCCATATTTTTCATATCCACTACACATGCTCACAATGCATTCGAATGTTTCGTTGATTTTTTTCATCATCTTAGCTCAAGTCTCTGTGACTTCATTACAATGAACACGTAACTAATTAAGTATAGTTTGTCTTGAATAATATGTATCTCACTGTATTATAAAGCACAGTATTTAGCTATTGTTCAACCGATTTACTTCCAAGGTGAAGCTAAAAACTAAAACGGCAAATTATATCCAATTCATGCTTTGTATTTATATCTACTTGTTTTCTAACTACTTTCTCAACATATATTTGAGATGCAGTCCACTATTGTTCAAACTCGTTTCAATTGTTTTCAAGCAATGATTTCGTCTTCAACTGTCACATAAGTTATCCACCTAATGTATAGCAATCCCAATAGGCAAGCCTCCATTTTACCTGATAGAATGGAGCCTTTAGGTCGCACGAAGAAAATTTCAAAATTAGTTTAGTCCTTTCTGTCAATTCATATAGGTAGAGCAAAAAACCAATCAAGATTTAAAATTGTCCAAACGTATCTACTCAGATAACTCAGATGGTTTCATCTACACACTTACTTGAATATAAGTATACCTATAACTTCTACCTCACGCTAAACCTATGTACCTTCTATTTGATTCCTATGAAAACCTATACTTCTAAATCGTAACTGTTTACGGTAAAAACTAGAGTAGATACCAGTAGACTCACCTAATCCCCCGAACTTTGGTGGAGTCACTTCAGTTTCTTTTCCAAATGAAGAACGACCTCTCAGTGGCGTTATTCCCAATTCACTGTTCAACTCAGAAACACTTTCTGATCTGGCCATATGAAGTGATTCGGTACTGAGATCCAATCTCATGAGCTAAAAATTATCCACATGAATGCATACGTATATAAATTTTATATAGAACGTGTTTGATACAAAGCCGAACATATTATTTTTGCAACAAATCACTAAGACTCAATGCCCTGTGTTAACTTCTATCTCAGAAAAAAATCAGAGACAATATTGAGACATTCGGATTTGAAGCAAAAAACTGTAAGCATGTAACATTATTTGTTGAAGCATTGTGAGTAGGATGCTGGTGTGTGTATAAAGCGACAATCAAATATTGACCTACCCCATTCTTGGTTTCCAAAGTCTGTGCGGCAAAAATAAATGATTTGTTATTACTGTGAATACTAAAAGGTGAAAGCTATAATAGAGTGTATAAGGTGGTACATAAGTGACTTGGACATAGTACTAAATCGTGTCCTTTTAGCAAGTACGTGCTAGAATTGACTAGTATACATTTTTTATAGTTAATAGTTGTATATACAGGTTGGAAATAAAATCGGCATATAGGGTCGAAATGGACATTTTCAATTGAGTACTTGATTATCCATCTCGTATATATCATATTGCTAGTCGACTGGCATTGAAAGTCCTATATGCCGAGCATTTCTCACAATATACCGGGTGTAATTGTAACAAGATCATGGTACACCCCCTTTTTCTCCTTCAGCTTCAGAGATAAGTGATTGAAACTCGGAATGACCCATCAACTTGATAACCGTTATGTTTTGACATCAATATGTTTCATTTTTTACATCCGGTTCCACCGGAAGTAATTATAACTTTCGATTTCAAAAGGGAACACCCTGTATTTCATTGCATTTTCGAATTCTTCATCCCCTTCTGAATTCAATGGCAATGAGTGACATTTGAAACTTCAATATTGATTTTAATTTCATTTTTGAGTGTGCCATGACTATTCTGAATGATTGATGATGATCTCATATCGACAGGTATAATGCTGGAAAAAAATTTAATTCCGTCAAAAATGTAAAATTTCTTGATTCATCACCAAATTAAGTTCATTAAAATGGTTTGGTGTACCATGATCCTGTTACACCCGGTATGTATGATAGTTCTGGATAGTCTCACCTGCGAGAAATTCGGTACACTGACTGTCTTCCTCATCAAAGGTTGTCCTCTAGCTTGTAAAAGTTCTTTAACAGCAACGCTTTGTCTCAGTCTGTCCAGAGTTAGAATACTCTCTACTGCACTCACACCTCTCGTGTATTTCTCTGTGATATGTTAAATTACCAATTTCATTCATCATTCGGATGTTATAGCGAACTCACCTATGTATGTCTCTCCATCACACAATGATGAATTTTCTCCAGATGCTGCCAATTGCGCTAAACTTTCCCTACCTTCTAGCTCTTCGCTAGCTTTTGGTACATTGGATACCACTAGGTATGTGACTCCGCATGAGGTTACCAGATCAGCCCGAGCTATTTTCGATTTTATTTGATTTTTTATTCTGTCAGTTATACTCTGGCGTTTATAAACGTTCAATGCTAAGCGCTTTCTCAGAACAAGATCCATCGGTGCTGGGTGCGATAATCTAACTGTCACTCGAAGAATCATATACACTCTTTCATTCGCTAAAAATAACATGAGTAGTTGAAAACTTCATGCACTCATTTTCCATAGTTACCTTCCGTAATCTTATTGAGATGTGGGCTATCATGGATTGAAGAATCCCAACCGGCTGTAGCACACACATCTTTTTCTAAGTGGTTGAGAATATGGAGATGGTAGAATTGTCTCCCATCCTCCTTAGGTAGGATTGAGTTAACTCCTGCGATGGTAACTTCTTCTCCTGATGTGTGTGTAGATAAATCATCGGCTGAAAGAAAAATACGTTGAAATGAAGATATCTTATTTTCAGGGATCACTTACCATTCAAATCTAAAAATAATACTGGTACATGAGGCTCCATTCCAGGGGGTGGACTCCACATAGCTGGAGCACCAGGTATTCCTGTTCCGGGTTGAGGAATATAAACAGCGTTGCTTTCCTCAGTCAAATTAACCAATTGCTCCATCAAACTCTTCTCTCTTTCGATGTCCTGCTCCGTCTTGTCGTCTTTCTCAGATATATTCTGGAGTTGTGAGTTGAGGTATTGTCTTCTTTTCTGTAGCGCATCATTCCATTTTTCCCTAAGTACAGTCAGGTCCTCTTCCTGGTAGGAATCCAAAGCTTTTTGCAGTCTGCTTCTGACCATAACTCCCCCCACTTCGATCTTGATAATTTGTTGGCATATGATAGGCAAAGTTCCTGAGTTTTGGACTGGCTTCACTCTCACTTGTATTCTTCGTTGTTGACCTTGACGAAGTTGGTATATACCGCCTGTCAACATGTCAGGTCTCATGCCAACTTCCACAGCCGTATACTCCCCCTGGTCATTCAGTTCTTGGATTTCAGCCCACAGTTCTATTTTCCTAGTCAGCTCTGACCATCGGTCTAGCAAGGACCTTGCTGTAGCTAGCTGTTGTTCCACTACCTCCCAGCCTGGTGTGTACTTGGAGAAACCTGCACTTCTGTTACCCCATACTTCTATGGAAAGAGCTCCCTCCGCACAATGTTCTACGAACTCCTCCGAAATATTGACTGTGAAATCGTCGGTGTGTTCGAAATTGACTGTCGTCGGTTGCTTGCTGGATTGGGAATCCGTGATGGCAGGAACCACTATAGCCTCTGGATGTCCCCAGAAAGAGTACTGACAGAATACATAATTAGCTAGGGATAGTGGCAGTCCTGAGGCTTGTTTTATATGCACACGAATGGTTACTTGTGAACTTCCTGGTTCATCTTCGTCCTGGCTGCATTCAGATGAATTGTCGGAGGCTGCTTCACATATTCTGTCTTGAGGTAAAGATCCAGCAACTCTGCTGAGCTCAACCTAAAATAAATCAATGATGAGTAGAGAATCTAAAGAAATTGTACTAAAAAAGCCTCAATGTTTAGAGTTTTGACCAATACAGTTAAAATTCTAGACCTGCAGTCTTCCAGCTACTTCTCCCTGCTGACTTATAATAGGTGTGTGGTAGTCCAAGCTAACATCGTGAAATAAGCTCTCCAGGAATATATTAGCTACTCCTATGAGGTTGTGGTTCTCCTGGGATTCGAAGAATGGATCAGGACCACTCAAGTCACTCATCTGTTCCTGATCTCCTTTGCGCTTCTGATCTTCATACAATTCTCTCATGTCTATAATTTTATTATCTAACTTCTCCATCGTCCATACTTGACTAGAATTGATCCTCTTTACTAGGATAGCAGGTTCGCTGACGAAAGCACCTTTCTAAAATTTCAGTCACTTTATAGTAAACTGCTCGATTGATCGCCAGTTTATCTTACTCCTTACCTTTCTGTTTGGACTCAAATTAGCTGGCGGTATCTGCAAAGTGACACTAAACTTGGTCTGCTTTCCCATCTCTTCAGCAAGAAAACTTGCTTCTTTCACCAGAGAATTGGCACGTAGGATATCTTCTTTCAATTGTACTATACTTCTCCTGAACATATCATCACTCTCATGGGCCCACCTCTCCACCTTCATCTGGGTAGTTGGGGTGCAAGGTGCAGTTTTGCTCAACCCAACCCTGAGAGGATCATATGAATAGGGAGAATTTGGAGTTGAAGGCGAAACCATTGTCCGCAGCAACTTTTCGTATTCCATACGTTGTTTCTCCAAAGCAACTAAAGAGATAAGTTTTCATGGTCATTCTGCAGGTGGATATTTTTCTCGTTTTCTTACTTACCCTGCTTATCTTCTTCATGTTGTTTCTCTAAGCGGGCTATAGCTGCCTGAATAGGGTCATTGCTCATTTCATTCGTCATTAGCTCGTCCCTGGCGAAATTATAATCGATATTTTGTGCTGGAGTTTGAGGTTCAGAAGTTGCTGCTGCAAAAAATAATAACCGATGTACTTCTTTCATGTGTACACCATTAGTATTTCACTTACATATGGATCTTGGGCAGTTGACTCTGAAGTAGTGGTGGTTACCCCATACAATTCTATCTCCATGTCGTAATGGAGTTCTCTCATAGATCTGAGACCCATTTACGCAAGATCTGGCATTGGCAAGCGGTTCAAGGAACAATCCGTTATCTTGTATTCTGATGATGCAGTGCTCCGGTTGGATACCTAGACCTGATAGTTGAATGTCAGGCTCTTTACCCGAGTTATGACTACTGGCACCTACTACTGTCTCTGCCTTCAGGTAATAAACTAATAGCTCGTTCAAGTAGGGATCGGCGTTCAAGTTCACTAGGTAATATTTATTTTTTTCCACTTTTATACCGGAATCTTGGATGCTGATGCCCATTTTCTCTAAAGCTTGCTGCCGCTCATTTTGTATTCTTTCTGTTTTCATCAGTTTCTCCTCCCAGGTTTGAGATACTTCTTTGTACAATTTTTCACTCTCACTCAGCTTTAGGTGGATATCGACTCTTTGAGTATCTCCCACAGGCGAACCCTGAAATACACAATTCAAATATTTAATAATTCGATGAAAACTGAATGAGCTATTACCGTAGCATGTTTCAACATTTCTTTCAGAGCTTCTACTTCCTGTCTCAATTCTCTTATGATCCTGGCATTTGGATCTTCATTAACGACAGCATGGTTGACAATCCTCTTAGCTCTATCAGCATACCGTAACGTCGAAAGGGTTTCTTCAAAGTTGTCTGCTGCTGGTGATATAGTTGCTACCATTACTGTCTTACTATTGCCTCCCAAATTGTCTTTCAGTAACCAAGTTAATACAGAATCTCTGTATGGCACGAATTTGTCTTTGTTCTTGCTACCAGTTGATTGATCAGCTAATTTTGAAATGACTAGACCTAGCGTTGTCAAAGACCTGAAAACCAAATTGCACATATTGCTGGCTATCTCACTGAATTTTTCTGAAAATAAAACTCACTTATTGATGTTAGAACCTTCTTTGAGCCTGTCCCCTACCGCCCCAGTTTTCACAGCCCTTTCCGAACCTGCCAGATCGACAAGTGACATTCTGCTAACCTTTTCACCAGAAACTCCATTCCTGGAGTCGGTTAAGGTTTGTGTTAATATCACGGTAAAAACTGCATGAGATCTGGACGATTCGCTATTCATGTTTGTTGCTGCTACTGTTCTCGATTTATTTCCTTCTGCCATCAAATTGTCAATGTCCTGAAGTATATAATAGATAATAGCAGTTTCATATTCAGTTCGAAAAACTAAATATCATACAGTGTTCTCAAAGGTGGGCGGTTTTTTCGAAGACGATGTAGAATTCATTGAAATATACAGATCCACTAAATATCGCCTCAATAAAAGTTGCATTATAACAGAGATATTATCAATTGAACTGTTCAATGCTAAACCAACTAATTCCTTGTCCTCCTACTACCGTTCACAGTAGAATTTTGTTTGTCTAGCCTTAGTAATCGGATCCTCTTTCTCAATTGTTTTCTCTTTGTGCATTGTCAAATAATGTAGTACGTTTACCAAACTGATAAACTTGCGTACATGCTTTTGTATTATGATGAAAGTCGCCAACCTGCAGCAGCAGCAGCAAGATTTTGTTTTTCCACGGAAAGATTTCCATTGAGAAATCAAATACCGCGAACACAGGGTGTTTGAAGGAAATAAGGGGAGGACATGTGGAAAGGCCTGTACCACCAGAAATGGTAAATCCAATCCTATCGGTGAACTTTTATATGGTCAATTTTTGGTGATTTTGTCTATTTCGATGAATTCTACATTCTGTTGCCACAGTTTTAATCTTCTGGAAATGCGTACGTAGGAAAACACGTTAAAAAATCTAGATCTACGTAAATTGTTAAATATTTTTCAGTAATGAGAAGTTTCTTGAAAGTTGTTGTTTCAGGCAATCCATTTGGATTGTGTGGCAGTTAGGAAAAACTATGTCTCCCATGGGGGCTAGGAAGCATGCGACTAGGAATACTGATGGTAATGAAAATCGCATTAGATGATTGAGCTTGGTCTGAGCCATTATATAAAAATGCCATTAGAAAAGTCAGATAGTAAAGTATTAAACGAATGAAGCTATTGCTTTGTTCATACCTGGAAAGCTGTTACTGCCAATTGGGACAGTCCATCGACATACGGCCCGAGAACATTGTGCTCCCTAACTTTCAGTGACTGTTTATTAGTTTGTGGATCCAACAAATCATGTACCTTGAGAAAAAAAAAGATAACACGAATAAAAATTTTTCCAGCAGAGCAATAGACATTGTAGTACGAAAGTACGAAGCCCTGGAAGGGACACATAAAATAAAAAAAAATGAACTCTTCAAAATTCTGAGTTATCACTCAGAATTTTAAAATGCCGTGTTATAACTCGGAATTTTACAACAAAATTCCGACTTATATCTCGGAATTTTAAAATTCTGAGTTATAACTCGGAATTTTGGATGTAAAATTCCGACTTATAACTCGGAATTTAACATCAAAATTCCGACTTATGTCTCGGAATTTTAAAATTCTAAGTTATAACTCGGAATATTGGATGTAAAATTCCGAGTTATAACTCGGAATTTCAAAATTCTGAGTTTTAACTCGGAATTTCAACACCCTGTATATTGGATGAAAAATAAATTACTCTCTGTCTATGAATGAGAAAGTTGTCCTGGCATCGGAAATTCAATTAAGAAAAACATTGTCCATTCGGATTCGTCTATTAGAAACTGACCTTTTCATTGTATATTTCCATGTAACTGACTTCAACTTTGTACGATAGTTCTGAACTTTGCTGTTTAGCTATTAGACCAAATAATGAATCGCATAACCTTGGAATGATACCCTTGCTGTCCTGTGAACCCATCATGGTATAGGATTTACCAGAACCTAAAAACAAACAAAGAAAAATAATTCATGATATATACAGAGTGACCCATTCGAAAGCGGGCCACCTTCATGAAAATGTTTCATTTATAGAGCGATTTTCACGATTTTTTTTTTCGAAATGTGGAGGAAGGAAAATTGTATTTTGGAGCTTAGCGGAGCTTATTTAAAACCAAGGCCTTCTAGATCACATAAGAAGGCTGAAAAATCCAGAATCCATATAAGCGATTTTTTTAGAAATAATCCACATACGCCACTGGCATCGGCGTCCTCTGAAATAGATCTGTACCAAGTTTCATTAAAAAATATTCAATATTAACGATTCTACAGCGTGTCTGATATAGAGGGCGGCCGTTTGAAATGAAATGTTCTGTTCCCGCCAGACCCTGAGTATGATACATTGACGAAATCAGCTCACAAAGGAGGACCCGAAAATGCAATTAAATACAGAGTGTCCCATAAGAAAAAGTATAACTTTGATACACCACGCATTAATTTGTCAACCTATATATTACGCAACATATTTTAGAAATGTGCTGCTGATGAGCCTAGACCATCAAAAAATTTTTGTTCTTCTATCTCAAGCAGCGAAGCATCTCACTTCCCTACACTAGTGACCGACCCTGTATATAATTCCGTCTACATTTTCATCAGAAAGAAAGACGTGTGTGTCTTCGAGGAAACTTTGATCTCTGACCTTCGCATTCATATGCATTTAGGAAAATAATATTCCAATCGTCTTTTTGTTTTGAGTTTGAGTACATCAAACTTATGGTAATCATATGGTGTGTTATTTTCGAGTTACTGCAGAAGGTTATATTGGAGATAAACATAAAAAAGTTACTATTATTCATGAAAAATCGTTATTTTTTATCATAGATAAATGTGACTAAATACCTGCTTAATCTGATAAAGCTAAAATTGGAATATAACAGGCTACTGGATATTTTAATCAATATAATTTGTGAAAGCTTGTTATTTGATAATTATTCAAGAAGCGTTAATGAATATGACGGTTTTATCGAATTGAGATTCATTTCCTTTTTTTGATACCACGTATCATTTAATGCTGACAATGCTGCGAAAAATAGATTGTATTTATTTTATGAACCATAATATAAAAACCCGGACAAAACCATTCTTGTCCAAACGTTATCAAAGGGCTAGAAACTCTCATTTAAACATACTCCCAGAAATCCTTCGAAAGTACCTTCAGTAACGGATGATTTACTGACAACGCATCATTTAGACAAGCTATAAGTATTCAGATCTTCAGGGACATGAGAAATAAACTTGAAAGGATAATTCTCGGGATAATTAGACTTGAAAATTCGAAAAGTTGTCAATATTTCATTCTCTCCCACCATTCAGCAATATCGATCTCAACTTTGGAATGTGAAATGAAATGTGAATTTTTGTATATTTCTAGATTTAGATTTGAGTACGATCACATTATTTTGTGAAAAAATAGTCAAAATCTTTTTTCCACAAATAAGTGGTAAACATAAATAATGAGTGAAAAGTATGATTTGACAGTTGTTTCCTCTTATTGAGTACTTATTTTTCTGTGGGAAAATCAAAGTGAAGAATTCTTTGGTTCGAAAATTCCATTTTTGGAGGGATTTTCAACAGTTTCTTCTATATTGCCCATCTTCCAAGGTATGTCACTCCTCTCTGAAGGTATGTAAGTCAAAGTGTATACCGCCATTCTTTTTCTATTATCTCAACCTATTTTTCTGTGGGAAAATCAAATTGAAGAATTGGTTGGTTCGAAAATTTAATTTTTTGAGATATTTTCAATGGTTTCTTCTTCTATATGGTATGTTACTCCTCTCTCAAGGTATGTAAGTCAATGTGTATACCGCCATTCTCTTTCTATCATCTCAACCAATTTTTCTGTGGGAAAAATCAGTGAAGAATTGGTTGGTTCGAAAATTTCATCTTCAGAGGGATTTTTAGCAGTTTCTTCTATATTGCCCATCTTCCAAGGTATGTTACTCCTCTTTGAAGGTATGTAAGTCAATGTTTATACCGCCATTCTCTTTCTATCATCTCAACCTATTTTTCTGTGAGAAAATCAAATTGAAGAATTGGTTGGTTCTAAAATTTCGCTTTTTGAGGGATTTTCAATAGTTTCTTCTATATTGCTCATATTCCAAGGTATGTTGCTCCTCTCCCAAAGTATGTAAGTCGATGTGTATACCGCTATTCTTTTTCTATCATTTCAACCTATTTTTCTGTAGGAAAATTAAAGTGAAGAATATGTTGGTTCGGAAATTTTATTTTTCGAGGGATTTTCGATAGTTTCTTTTATCTATTTGCTGATCATCATCAAATATTATATTATTGTATATTTATATACTCGTGTTTCTCAAATTGGTGAGATACATAAAATGGGGTGGTGTGTTGAAAACAATGACACAGTAACTCACAAAAAAAATATATGCTTTCAACATTCCACATATTTTAATCATTATTGAATGTATGACAACATTGCAAAAATCATCGAGGCGTCTGACTTCGCGAAAATAGGACGCTCGGGTTCGCTCTCTTCAATAATTTGAAAAAATTGAATGGAATTTCGAAATCCAATATCTTCCAATTATTTTTATCAAAAATATACTTTTATTTCGTTTCGTTTATCGAACACACCCTGTATATTGACTGGAATATTCGACGGGAATGGTTCAACTGCTCAGCAGTTTATCTGACACAAGAACAATGTATATTATGGTATTTTGACGTGAATGACCTATCAATAGTTCTCAAAAAACGACCGGTCCAGAATGCTCTCTCTTACTCATTCATTATACAAGTCGATTTGCCGAGATCACTGTACCGAGTGTATCGGCCAAATAAGGATATGCTCTGTCCGTTTTTTGGGCAGCGAAGTATACTTTGTTGTTGAAATATGGCGTTGCAGTTCCATTTCCTTCAAATCCCTGAGTGGTTACATTTTTTCTTATCTCTTGGAGCGCACGAAAGGAAATTCTTATAATGTTCGTTGAAATTCGCGCGTACCTAGGGAGAATAGGGAGAGCAAGGTGTTGAATTTTTTTTCAACTTTTGGAGGTTGTAAGTGCTTGAGTTACATTCTATATGTATTAAATTGAACTGTTAGGAGAAAATTAAGACGAGATTATTATCAGGGCCGGATTAACCATAGGGCACAAGGGACAACTGCCCAGAGGCGAGAATTGGGGACGAAAATTTTGCCAATAAGTTTATCATAAGCAAAAAAACAAGAGAATTGCTCAGTGATCAAGGGTTTTATTCCTTTGACAATTTTATTAAATATTTAAAAAATATAAAAAAAATTGTATGTATTTTTCCATGTTGCTCACTATTTTGTTTCGTACATCCTGTTTGTTATTATATTAATCACTTCATCATGTGAATGATCCATGACTTAATGGTTTGGTTATTCACTTTTCATATACTAATGTGAAATGGTCTATTGGATGAATAAATATTTTATTCTTTTCTATAATAAAATGATCAATAAATATCATGGTTAGTAACCAAATTCTGAGATCGATTAGAAATAGAGAATTCGATCGATATAGGTACTATCAGTCATCAGAGCCAAGCGAAATTTCCCTCCATGATTTGCTGATTAGTACTGATGAATGATGCATCATTATGAAATCCATAGTGCTCAAGGCCAGAATTATAGCTCGATAATATTTTTCATCCGATCTATATCTTTTATTATTGCCAGTTTCATATTTCCAGAAATGATATCTCTTGCTTGTGATTTTTATTTATTTTACCAGGTGATTCACCCGGATTTGCCCCAAAATGTCACTGCGTTTGAAAATGTTCCTATCAGTAAGCCTGACAGAAAATCTTGATCGATTGTCAGTGACACCATATTGTTTTGAAAAATTTTCGAAGAGAAATATGGTTTTTGAATGTATGATAAATTGATATTCCTCATACAGGACGTGGAAAGAAGAATGCGAATTCTCACTGCATTTCTTTACATATATGTATATCCATTTTTTATGTTCATAATTATATCTGAGAATATTCCTTTTCAAGAGAAATATGGATATATCGAAAAAATATCAAATTTTCACTTAGCTTTCGACGTTTTGGAAACGGATCTGTTCCCGTTTTCGAAATTCGAATTCAAATGTCAAAATTGAAATGAGAAGACAATTCTAGAAGAAGAATATTTTCCATTTTTTCATTTTTGTAATGTGTATAGGGGGCGAATAAATATATTGTGTCCCGGGCGCCAAGTGGTCTTAATCCAGCCCTGATAATTATTATTATTAATAGAAAAGTACGTTTTCTGTTGACCGCACCATGTATCAAGGTGGACCAATCAATAAATTATTATTCTCTCGAGTTATCTTCACTCACGAGTGGATATAGACTTGATGCATATTGTCTTAAAATAAACTCTTAGAGATGGTGTTTACTCATCCTACAGACATTCAAGATGCTCAGCATCCGGTACATTATTCAAATATTTAGTGAAATTCTATTAGTGCGAAGGTAGGAATAAGTCAATGTGAACCAAAGAAATACTGAAGTAATACTACATAATTCTTATATTGAATGTATATTGAAAGATTTGAATTCTTATTTTATCTTCATTCTTCTAGATGATTTTTTTTCACACCTTATGTCTCGAGATGATTTTAGAAAATTCGCGATATATCTTCCGATTACGAAGGTATTGACAGATTTTTTTGCTCATGGTTAACTCTCAGACATTTTGAACCAAGAAAACGTTATTATTTTTCATCTCTTCATGAAAATTGAACTTCTTTTGAACTTCATCGATTTCCGAAAATTTGCGATATTTTCCGAACGGATTGATCGTTATTACTGGTTTGTTCTATTCGCATTTTTTTAGTCATGAAAAAGCCCTATGGACAAACTGAACTGGAAATTACGAATATACCGAAAAAAAAAAACGATTTTCAACAACACACTTGATCTGCGATATCTTTCGAACGGATTGACCGATTTCGTTCGGGTTAAAAAAAAAATACTCCTACCACGAATAGTGGCCCTTGAGGGGTATACCTAATGACCATCAGAAAGTGTCTTCTTCTCTTCTTTACCAATATATTGGGTGGATTATGAGATTTGGCAAAAACATCTTGTGGGCCTAACTTTTCAACAGCTCCTTGATTCGTCTGATTTTTACATGGGATATTCCACTACTATCTAATCGACTAACTCATTCCTGGAATTCCTTGGATTTCCTTGGAATTTTCCTCGATTGTTCTATTCGAATTCTTTCCAGTCATAAAATAGCCCTCTATAGAGTTCATTGAATGAACCAACGGAATTGGAAATGTTAAATATGACAAAAACAAAAATCGATTTTCGAAAATATTACTTGATGAGCATTTCCTCGGCAATATATTTCGAACGGATAGTCCGATATTGTTCCGGTTTCTTCTTATCGAATATTTTTCACTTATAGAAAAGTTCTCTGGATATTTCAAACCAAGGAACTTGATTTCAAGCTAATAGTATTCTCACGGTTTATGAAAATTTTACCTGCTTTGGACTTATCTATTTTCGAAAATTCGCGTTACCTTTCGAACGAATTGAACTCGGTAAACCGCGGTGGAATTCAGGCGTACAAACAACTGGATTTCCTTAGTTTTCATTGGAATTCCCTGGATTTCCTTGTGATTCCTTGGATTTCCTTGAAATTTCCTGAATTCCTTGGGTCAAGTGCGCTATATATATTCCTGGTCTACAAACAACTGAAATTCACGGGATTTCCTTGCATATCCTCGGAATCTTTTGGGTGAAGTATGTTGTATAATTCTGGTGCACAGACAACTGGAATTCCTTGGATTTCCTTGGAATTCCTTGGATTTCCTAGGAATTCTTTGGATTTCTTAGGATTTCCTTGGATTTTCTTGAAACTCCTTGGATTTCCTTGGAATTCCTTGTGAAATTGAAGTTTGGTGTACACAATTTTGACAGCGGTTTACGCCTCGATAATAGGTATATATTATGTTAACCCTAGCTGTACTCTCGAACAAACACTTCCATTTTCACATGAGAAACTCTGCCTCTCACTATATATAAGTGGATGAGAATTAGGAACACTATCATTCTGTGATAAAAAAAATCATGTTATGAAATGCAATGCCCCCCTCCCAGAAAAAGCTTGCTGGATCCCCCGCTGCCTAAATGATAAATCGACCTTTTTATATTCGGAATATAACTTGATAGAACAAAATTAATAAAAAAACACAGTTTTTTTTCACAAGGATTGAACCCCTGACCACAGGCATGGCATAGCAGACTCTTGAAATCACTACGATTCTATTCGTCGGGGCGGAATATATGAGCATGGATAGAAAATGCGCCTGATGAATAGACATGGCCTTATAATTTCGTTTTATTCTCAGAAATAATCTGAATAAATGTAATTACCAGTACTGTACCTGGGTGCAAGTCATGAATGATCCGTTGACGATCGATTCTTACCTGTCTGGCCATATGCGAAAATGCAGGCGTTGTATCCTTGAAAGGCATTATCGAGGATATCACGTCCCAAACAATCGAACACAACCTCCTGGGATGCGAAATCCTTTCTGCCTGGCTCCACAGAACAGAAACAATGGTCGAATGCAAATGTTTTCGGTTGTTTCCTGGAACAAAACACAAAGGACTAAAGTGTCGATTGGACATTCGAAATATCGCGTGATAATTTTTGTTAATTTTCGCCATCGACTATAACTGGAAAGATTTTACTTGGAATTCCATGAGGAGTTTGTCATCATGGCAAGACTAGAAGAAATATTCAGGAACATTTTGAGAGACAGAAATATTGAGTAGGTACAGGAATAAAAAAAAATTGGATAGAAGAAGATTCAAACATGCAAAATTTTGATATATTTGGCCTAAAACTTATTTCTCTGCATTTCTACTGTAACGTAGTGACAATAATTATCGAAGGTTCTAACTTTCCAGAGAAGCAAAGATAATAGGTAATTGTGTACCACTTTCCTTTTTTTTTATGAACGTATTCGGTCAACCAAATCAACGTTTTCCTTATACTGTATCCAAATCTGATGCTTTATTGAATATCTATGCAAAAAAATAAGTAGGTGAAATGCTGACATTTACAACTACGGTTAATCTTAGTTGAGAGTTACTGAACGGTTACAGCTGCACACTGCACAGCTCATGTTCTCCATAATAATAATAATTATTATAACAATTATAATAATAATCATCATTATAAAAATAATAATTATGAAAAAATCATTTATGCACAATCAATTTTGGACATTCGAAATAGGCAATTTTGGACATTCGAAATAGGTACTGTTTTGTTGACCCATTGGTAATTAACTGTTACACCACAAAATGTCTAGCTTTATCTCAATCATTAGTCATGTAATTCCAACCAAATTTGGACTGGTACAAGAAACGATTGATATGGTAATGTTTTTGAAGACAAATATTCTTCTGGACAGTGCGGTGCGTGATGCGTTTTAATGGAATTGAAAAGGAGAGAATTTCGGGCAAAATCATAACAGTAGACATTTTTTGAACTCATCATGCTTTTGAACTCCCAATTGCAAATTTTCATATTATGATTTTTTTATAGGTTTTTCGAGAAACGACACCTAAATACTGCAATTTGCGAACCTTAAATAAGTATTCTTCACTCGTAAACGGTTAGATCCACAAAAAAAAGTATTTCTTGTTCTATTTTCAAACCAAAAATATATTAATTTAATAAAGAAGCCGAACCTAATTTGGAATGAAGTGAAATTTCACATGGAGGTTTAAAAAAATTGGTGGAGCCATATACGGTGTCATTCATAAAGTTGGCATCATATGGGAAAATCTTCAAATAATAATTTGTTTTGGAATTCGACTTGGGTCTCAAGTTTTGCTTCAAAAGAGATGAAAAATGGCCTACTCGATCAGAGTCACGTGACTTTCTGTCTGTTTCAAGCAAATAAGCCTATTTTCAGCGATTAATTTGAAAAAAGTAACGTTTGACATGTAGTACATTTTTCATATTTTTTAAAGCAAAACTTAACGCCTTAGTCGAATTTCGAAAAAAATATTATTAAAAGTTTTTCTAATATGATGCCGACTGTATTAATGACACTCTGGAAAAATTTGAAAAAAAAACAGGTTTTCCGTGATTCCAAACTGATGCATGACATTAGAAAGATAATTCATTTGTATAATTAATCAATAGTAGGTAATTTGGCATGCACACCAGGATTTTACAAAATAGAGACATGCACGAGGAAAGTTGCAAAAACACTTTTTTTGTATCATTAGTCATTAATGCCTTTATTTTGCAAAATCCTGGAGGAGTGCATGCCTACTATTAATTAATTGTACAAATGGATTATATTTTTAATGGCATGCTGTTTGGAGTCAAGAAAAACCTGTATTGAATTTTTTCAGAGTTTTACCGAAATTTTCCAACGTTGGTCAGTCGAGGGACGCATGCCAATTTTCCCAGAGTGTTTTTGATACAAAAACTTCAATTCTTTACATCGGCATGCTATTTGAAAACACGGAAGTCCCCTTCAATTTTATTAGGTTTTTCTTAACCCTTTTGAGCCCTTTCGGTCGCCGCGGATTGCATGTCATCAATTATCAGTGCTTCAGTTTGTTTGAACGGCAAGCAGTATAATATATCGCGAAAAAACACGAAAATTCTTCACAAAAAGAAAAACGCTTTCCCTTATGAAGTGCACACGTGCGGCAGCCAGGAACCAGTCTATTTTTCATATTTTGGGGTTAATTATAAATACTTGAAAAGGCATGCAGTGTAAAATTTTCGTCCCATCAGGACTTCTTTGGCGAATGGAACTATAATGCTATGTTTTATTTATAATTCTTATTCCCATTCTTTACAGCTGATAGAGAATGCATTTGTGTTAGGAAACACAACTGATTTCTCTTTTAAAAAAATCGCCCACAGTTAGAAATACAGGAGGAAATACATTATAAAAAGTATGGTATAACGGATCATTAGTAATTATATATTTACTCGTATATTTATGACATATTGAACAATATTGTTGGTCAATAGTTTTTCGTAATCCGTGATACGGTTGAAGGAAAGAAGACATACAGGGTGATACTGGTGGATCCAAATAACGATGTTCCACAAACATGATAGGGTTTCCCTTTCGTGCGATCCAGAAGATGAAAAAGGGTTATTTACCTTTCTAGTTTATCTATAGTAGACGACTGATGAACTATAGTTTGATCCTTATCCATTTCCACCACACATTGTGCCCCCAATTCAAGCTCTGTAACAAAAAAAGGACACAAATTTGAGTATGCCCTCGAGTCTGCCTTTCGAAAGTTTTTAATGAATCAGGATGCCATAACTACCAAACAGTTTCCAATGCATTGTATTTGTTACCTGTGGTGTTATAGTTTCGCGGTTCACATGATTCATTTTGATATTTTTTCAGGAATCGATAGAGAATCCAGATATCAAAACAATGTGAAATCGATTAGAAATGTTCGTGAGCTGTGAGTTAATTTAGGTGAGTAATGAATGGTGCATATATGAAGGTGAATAATAAGTCATATAAATTAATTGAAAGCTGTCTAAAAATAGTCTTCATGCGTGTTGTTTTGCTGGGGTGGTTATTACTTTACTTTTATCGGTTATTTACATTGTGATTATAAGGATCACCCTTATTGTATTAGATTATTTTTCGCTTTCCCTGTGGTTCATTAGATATTTCGTTGAAAGTGAATGCACTGATTTATGAATTATTTCAGGTAGGTATACTACCTACCTACGAATGCTTTTGTTGTCATAGACGGTAGCTAGGATGAGTGCTATCGCTGATTGATTGTACATAATATAGTTAAACTCCGCAAATGGATCAAGGACCCCTGGGTTAGACAGTAAATTTTCTGATGACCATGTATACCTACTGATTGTAGGTATCGAATAGGTATTTTGACATCACACCTTCAATGTCGCAATGACAATAAAAATGATTCACCATCCAACTCGGTTATATGAAAGATCGATGGAAAATAAAGAATGACAATGAATCAACATTGACAAGGACCAACACGATGATCATGATAGTATCTTGGAGACGATTACCTCTTCTGTTAAAAGGACGGAGCCTAACAGCAACTTTTATTTTATCCGTGGACATTTTTGCTTTTCGTCACTTAATCTATAACAAACACGTATATGTATTTACACTACTATCACACTTTCTTTGTATAAATAATTGCCGTACTATCGAGCGTACTATCCATTTTCGAACATAGTTAAGTCACAAGGTAGCACTTATCACAACACGTATATTCACAACTTTCGCCATATTCCACAACGTATTATTGGACATTGCGCTGTAACACTCATTTTCTGTGGACTGCGCAAATTTCGCCTATACTACGTGAATTTCCATTTTCCGATGGTATTTTTCAGAGACCTCTGCTGCATATCGATTGAACCCCGGTTGTGCCTTGCGCCCTCTTGAGCGAGACATTCTCAAGGCCGCGACAGATGTCTGGAGAAAACACCGCATACCGCCTGTGGCGACATCTGTACGCCACTGTGGTGCATTTATAGATGATCCACCAGTAGAGTTGCCTACCAAAACCGGTCTGAGACTCTGAGAGTGACCGGTGATGCCTGAGGTATGAGAGGTATGGCCCCATTGCTGCCAAGTGCCAACTCAGCCATTTTATGGCTAGTTCCATGTAGGGTCCCTTGATGGAAATTGACATTAAAGTCATCTTAACAGAGTACGGACAGATCATAGCTGCATTCTTTTTTAATGATCTAGAGACTTTAGTTTTGTCTACTGGCATCCCTGACATTGCTGTCACGTCACATCCATGGGCGCTACAGAAAATCATTCGAAATTTTATTAATAGGTATGTACAGGGTATTTAATTGTTGAGGAAGATCATGTGGCGAACAAGTTTTGTGATGAAGATCCGATTTTATTCAAAATTGATATCTGGCGGTTTTCGGGGTAAGAGATAATGATTGTTCCGTCAAAATTGAAAAATCCAAGATAACGGATCCATTAGTTTATATAATTACTACTCTATCACAAATAGAAAATATGTAGGATGCAAGAGTGAAAATAACGTGCCTATAAATCATACTGCGTATACCTACTTGTTCGTTACTTTCATCGATAAATTATTTGAAAATGACTTTTCATTTAAGGAAGACGGAAGTATCATATGTATAACATGGGGGTGAAGTATATTCTATTCTTTATTTCCCTGCACATTTTACGAATAACTTTTTGTCAGCTTACTCTTCGTCCTAGACGAAGTTTTATACATAGTTGTTATTAGTCACTCCATAAATTCTTCGAGTTGTATTTCCGAAAATACATTTAGCACACATGACATAAGTACAGTAGTTTAGATATTCACATCGAGGTTTTCACCATTTCTCAATCATAAGGCTCAGCTCATTCAGCTCATAGATAAACTACTGCTCAGTTTGAAATCAGAATTCATTCAGTAAATTCAGTCAACCCTTGTATACAGCCTAAGAACAGTCTCTTTTGGTGAAATATATTGAGCTTTCAGTAAAATTCATATGTTCCCTCAGCTACCTCTCAAAAATTATGCTGGAGTATAGTAAACTCTAAAGGGCGCCGTACATTATGCTATTTACCAGCAAGTTCGATGCAATGCAATTTTGAATCGATCAATGCGCATGCGTCTATGCTATTTCACGGAAAGTTTCATGCAAGTTTCGTAATAGTAGAATCAGTCCTATTTTTCCTGCAATTTCAAGGCATGTTTAGTAAAATTTTTAGTAATATTCATCGTAGCATCTTGATAAAATAATAATTTTCTTCATAACGTGGCCTGAAACACCAAGTAACCTCAAAAAGTACATTGAAGGTTCAAAAAAACTTGGAAATAGTTAATATGAACAAAAAAATATGACAGAAATATCTCAATGTACGGCAACTCGCAATAAATTTAGAAAAATTGCGAGAAAATTGCATTGCCTCAAACTTGCCGAGAAATAGCATAATGTACGGCGCCCTCATAACTAGAGGATTGTTTATCCATATTCTGGTATAGTTGAATCAGGAATTCCATATGGAAATTACGTATGATACGCCAGTGACCTCAATATAACCTAAAAAACAACAAATGCCAAAAATCTAGTGTTTATCCCCAGAAATGAATAAAGATGGAACTATATAACTGTTTCACAAACACTTTAGAGTGAGAGGAGACGAGGATCTGTCCGTACCCTGTAGAGATGACAAATACGTCAGTTTACATTAAGGGACCCTAGTTCCATATATCTACTACTCTACAGGGTGACATAGAAAAAAGTAAATTGCATAGTGCCACACAATAGAGGACTCCAAAATAAGGAAAAAAGTTCCTATGAATATGGGTCCGCAAGGCCTTCGGTTAAAAAGTACGGGGTGTTGAATTTTAATTTTTTTTTTGGGTTTTCTTTGAATATCTTTAGCCAGAGACCCAAGAAATGGATAAAATGTGGTATACAGGGGTTTTTCATCATGCTAAATTCAAATATGATCTTAGTTTTGTGATTACTGATAGAGGGCGCCACATACAGGGTTCCATCCCTATTGAATCGGTCGTAACTTTTTTGCTATACACTATATGTAATTTTCGACGGAAAAAAATTGTTAGCCCTTCTTTTATACTTGAGAAAGGTATACCTTATCCAAGTCGCTAGAAGCAATGGTTCCAGTACAAATGCATCTAAAAGCCGACAATGCACGCAAATTATTATAAAAGCGCCAAAGTAACTTTTGCAAAAACAATGATAAATACTTCAACAATTACATTTTAATCAAGAACACAAAATACCTCTAATAATTATTACATTAGTTATTAGACAAGTGTCATTATGACACATTATTTAATTGTTATTTATCATTGTTTTTGCAAAGGTTACTTTGGCGCTTTTTGAATAATTTGCGTGCATTGTCGGCTTTTAGATGCATTTTTACTGGAACCATTGCTTCTAGCGACTTGGACAAGGTATACTTTTCTTATGTATAAAAGAAGGGATAACAATTTTTTTTCGTCGAAAATGACATACAGTGTATAGCAAAAAAGTTACGACCGATTCAATAAGGATGGAACCCTGTTTGTAGCGCCCTCTATCAGTAATCACAAAACTAAGATCATATTTGAATTTAGCATGATAAAAAACCCCTGTATACCACATTTTATCCATTTCTTGCGTCTCTGGCTTAAGATATTCAAAGAAAACAAAAAAAAAATTCAACACCTCGTATCTTTTATCCGATGGCCTTGCGGACCCATGTTCATAGGAACTTTTTTCCTTATTTTAGTGTCCTCTATTGTGTGGCACTATGCAATGTACTTTTTTCTATGTCACCCTGTATATATGAAGCATAGCTGTCCTCAAAGTGGGACCAACTTCTGTATAGGTAACGAAATCGACCAATAGGCGTTGATGCCGACGTAGGGAAAAAATAATACGAAACTTATTATACCAATATGGCTACGAATTTCAAATTTTTAAATTGGTTTCAACGCGTATGTGTTTTTAGTTGTACAATTCTTTAGTGTTTGTGTTGTCGTTGATTTTTCATAGACTGAACTTTTTTAACCATCTCTAGTGGAACGAAATGCAGTATTTGCAGAGAAAAGAATAGACAGGAATCCTCTTTTCATAAGTAAGTTTGAATTTTCAAATTTTTTTGTATATATATTGACCTGCACAAAGGTACACACTAATTTACATTATATTTTAGCCTCCCAGAGAACATAATCTCTGCCTGAACGAAGGAAAACTTATGGCTTCAATCATCAGCCTCATCATTCTTCTCATATACATTATCAATGAAGTTATCAATCATCCAGCATCAAGCATAATATAATGGGAATTTCCTTAAAGTAAACCAAGTTTGATTCAGTAAATGACAAGTAGTAGTGTAGTCCTATCACGCTAAACAGATTTGAGTAGATCACTTTCACCACATTGAAAAAGAATACATATACCTAGGTTAACCCTGACCTATATTCAATACCAAGATCTGAAGCAGTAATGTTGAATTAAATGGTGTGAGTTTCGAGATTCCACCAAACTGAATGAAATCATTAATCGCTGTTCATTTCATTATCATCTGCAATGGCTCTTTCCTGTTCCTCAAAGTAACTGACATTATGCTTTGCTATATAATAACCGCATTATAAAGGAATTAATTGAAGTTGACGGTATTATTCTGTGGTATTATCAACAATTGATAATTTTTAATATTTTATTATGATCGAATAATTATTTACGAACCTAACCTAACCTAACTCAAAATATGATCCTCACGTCAGCAGTTCTCTTCACTTCCCGTCCTTATAGATTCAAAACGTACCTCTCATTTTGGATTTCAAATTTGAAAACGCCAACTTGTAGGAAAGAAAAACTGGCATTCATTTCGATTAATTTCTTCAAATAATTTTAAAAAATGACAAGGAAGATTTAAGGAAATTTCGGATTTTTTCGTATAACTCCGTAAGTCTTTTTCAAGTTTCAAAACGGCATTTTGTTAGGCAACCGACCCTGTATTTCTTACGCTTCACGAGATCCCAATGATGAGCCTCGAATTCCAGCCACCCTGTACTTTTGGTAATCTGATGATGGAGAACATTTCTTGAAGGGCAGGGTGAAATTAATAACGAATTATTCAAAATTCTTGAAATTTATTTGAAACAATATAATCTCGAACAATAATTAAACTATTCTGAATCAGAATAACGGTGGTCATAATATCCATACCCAATAACATCACATTATTTTTTATATACAATATTTGGCTTCTTCTAAAATGTAACAACAAAAATTCGTCTATAAAATTTGAGCTAGAAAGCGACTTTTCAAGTCGCCTTGAATACCTGAATATTGTTAACGGTTCAATGTTTCTCTCAGAATCGAAAAAAAAAACAACCATAGGTAACTGAATGTCTTACACTGATGCTATGCACGTGTAATTACTGTATTATCATCCGACGTATTTTCGGAGTTATATAAACCTGCAAAAAAATTATCATTTTCGAATGTTGAGTAGTTGATCGGAATATCGGATAGGCAAATAGACCTTGTATAAATCTAGCTAAAAATCTTGTGATTAGGTACTACAAAATTAACACTAAGACATCTAGACTCACAGTATGTTGAACAAACGAAAACAGAACACCATAGGGGATACTTCGCAATCCATATTTTTTTCATACGAGTCTCAAAAAAGATTATCTAAATCAAGCATTCATAACAATAAAAATATCAAATGAAACTACTAAATATTTGCAACAACTTTTGACCGATCCCGTGTATTTTTCAAATTAGCACTTCATCACTATGAATGGGTGAAAAAACACCTACAACTTGATATGTATATTCAATGTCAATTGCAACTTAACATGTATGATCATGAAATGGTATTTCGAAAAATTTAGGGTATATTGTCACAATTTTAAATATTGCATATTCTCGGATAAAAGGAGAATGGAAATACATACTTAAAATAATTGTTTTGAAATTGATGACACCTTATTTTTGTAAACAATATCTGTGGTGAACGTATACCATAATGTTTAGTATTCATATCCGTTAATTTGAACAACTCTTATGTTACTACAGATTATATACTTAGTTGAGGTATCATCAAGTATTTTGGAAGCTCAAGTATACGTAGGTAAGAACTATCACTATATATTATTACTGGAATAATATATACCTGTTTTTGGTTCATAACTTTATCTTGAAACCAATATTTTGATGTCAGAATTAGATTCAACCTTTTTTTTCGAATCAGTAACTACCTGCCTAGATCTAAGTGCCATCAATTCCATCCGTACTTAATCCACTAGCGCACCCTCAATTTATTTGTGGGGGGCTCATGAGCCAATATTTATTATTTTGCCAAAACAAAACATCGTAAAACCAATATATAAATATCTTGAAAAAATACAGAGACAAAATAAAAAGTCACAGTGGATTCAAGTAAAGGTAAACATTTTTTTATGACTAGAATAGGACCCCTCAGTAGTGCTAGAATACATATCAATTAAAACTCCTATATGAAGCTCGATTTTTAATTTTCTAGCTTTCTATTCCATTTTTTGGAGGCTCTCGATTTCTTTGAACATAATTCCTTCACAAGATTCTGAGTGAGTTCTGTCCTTCAAAAGTATTCTACAGAACCGAATTAATTTACCCATCATGATATATTCTGCCATGTGTTTCATTTTGAAATTTTCCTATTTTACAGGATCTCTATTTATGCAACTCACAAAAATATTTTCTGATGAAGTCGCAATACGGAATTATAATTATTTTCGGCATCCTTTTAGGTCTTGGCAGAAAAAGTGGGACTTAAAACCCACAGCTCCCTCCCCTAGGTGCGCCAGTGACTCAATCACAATCTCTTTAACTCTTCACGACCATTAACCTAACATCTACCGGAACAATAATTTACAATATCGGAATACTGACAGCTGCTTCTCACGAAGATGTAGAGCCAGCAACTTCATTTTGTTCAAAATATTTGTAATTTTCACTTTGAACTGACAAGTGGCAATTCCAAATACACTCTCCTGAAGGAAAACCGGCCAGACAAAAATTTTGCCAAATCGATCGCCCTGTAACTTTTTCAATTCCTCTCCGATGTTGGTAAGATTTCCACCAAATTGTATAATATTTATGTTTCAGAATGTTTGCATACATTTTAGTTCCCATGAAACGCTGATGCCTCGATCATTTTACAGGGAAAAACAAAAGTTACTATTTCACCCATAACTCCTTAGCTTCATTATCTTTCGGTTTGAAGTGTGGTCCCTTCTCAACACAATGAATTTTTATTCACGTCAATATCTTCTTTTCAAGAGAAGATACATGTGTTTTAAGAAAGTATGGAATAATTCAATGTCCGTCGTGGCATATAGCCAGGAAAGTAGTTGTTTTCTGTTGAATATTCCGAAAAAGAATTCATACATAGAGAATAGGAATTCTCAATGTATTTCTCTATATAGACAGGGTGTATCTGAATAACACCGAAAAAATTCAAGGGGCGATTCCTTGTGTTCCTTGTGATACAGGGTATTGATATTTCCATGAGAAATTGTTTTTTTTATTCACTACTCAATTGTCTTTTCATCAATTTCAATAAGACGTTGTGGTTTTGTTAATAGTAACATGGAACTTCTTCTGGTGCAATTAGTTTCGAAATAATATTTCCAGTGGCGTCACAGTGGGTGAAATTATCGATATTAATGAATCCGGTGATACCGGTTTTTCTGAGTTTCATATTTTTATTAGATTTAACTATTTAAATCAATAACCCCAATTACAATCGTTTTAAAATTTTGGGGCTATCTCAGTTCCCAACCATACTGAATTTTTGCACAATGAAAGCTTATACAGGGGGGCTAGAAATGAAAACAATTAAGACTTCCAACTTCAACATCCTGTATCTCAAAAACGGAGCAAGATAAAAAACATCTTTATATGAACTTGTATTTGCTAGAATATCACAAAAGGAATCACCCCTTGATTTTTTTCGGCTCTATTTAGATACACCCAATGTATATCTATTTTGTTCATGTTCATAACATATCTGAGAATATTCCTATTTAATAAAAACCATTGTGTTGAGAAGGAATCACACTTAAATACTTCAAACCAAAACATAATTAATCTGAGTTTGACCACTCACTTATTTCGCCATAGAAGAGGATGAAACAATAACTTTTCTTGACATTCCGAATCATAAATATAAAAGTCGGATAAGCATCGAAATAGTTAGAGAGCAATCAATTCAGCAAAATTTCTTGTAGCCGGCTTTTCCTCGCCGGTGAGTGTATTCCGTATAAAAAAGAGCAGTGGTGCCAACTCAGCCATCTTATGGCTAGTTCTAGCCATTTTTGAACTCATCTAGCTACTAAAAATTTCATCTATCCATTTAGCCATTTTTCTAGCAATTTTTTATTCTGAATTTCTATAAAAGTATTTTCATTTTCATAATATTCCCATAGATAGTTCATTATATTCACGATCTAATCTAAATCGAATTTAGACCAGCCATATTTCTATGGATTTTGACAAATGTGCATGAATCGAAGGAACATTGACGTTGACGTCCATGACGTTAACACATCACGTCATACGTCAACGTCAATACTACTAGAGCCAGTAGTCTAGCTCTAGATCTAAGCTCTAGACATAGGAGGCTAAATGGAGGCTATATTCAAAATTCAACCGGTCAGTACTGTCAGTACATCCGCTGACTCTGCTGAAAATTTGTGTTCCGAAATAAAAAATCAAAAATACAATGCTTTAATTCGGAACACGTTATGGTTTTCATCAGTAATCAGCAGCACTTGATCAGCTGGTGAAATTTGAATATTATTCTCAGCGTCCAAATCAAGTTATTACTGATAAGACAAGACTTAATGTTTAAAAAACAACGGAAATAATGTGATAAATGTGACATTCCTTCCCCCTCTAAAATAATGACAGTTCACTGAAGCCACACTACCTTTTGATAGTCAGCAATTTCAGCAGAAAGTTGAGTCGAATTATTTGTAATGAATGGTATGTCTGCTCACAAGTATCTGTCACCTTCATTGACATTTTTGATTCCGGAATGAAAAATCAGCAGATTAAGTACTGTCGTAGTTTAATTCGGAATATAGCCTAGAACTTTTAATGTCAGAATCATAGTCTATGGTCAGATTTCTTGTTATTGCTAGAAAAATTGCAAAAAATGACTAGATTGGCCAAAAAAATGGCTAAACAATTTTTAGCCATAATTTAGCCTTTCTGCAACAATCATCTAGCCGTTTTCAAAATTGGCTGTTGGTTACACTGAAATCGAGTCGTCGGCGCGATAGTAGCTTCACGTCCTGACCCGTACGAAACACGTTTTCCGCCTGCCCAACCGGCCTCACCCTTCCAACCCACCCACCCCTATGCGATCATGTCGATGTCCAGCGAGTCCACCTCGTGGTCGATGTGACTGGACGGCGTCGGCGTGCTCAGCCTCTCGCACAGCAGGGGATCGGCCGACGCCGGGCTGCGGGCGGCGGAGGCGAGCAGCGCGTCGGGACGCAGGGCGTGAGGCGAGGACAGCATCGGGTCGCCGTTGACGCCGTACAGGTCGTCGTCGTCCATGCCGTCCTCCATCGCCGACAGGTTGAGGGATGCTTCGGAAAGGGCGTCGGATATCACGTCGGGCATCTGGAAAGGGGATGATGTGAGTTATAGCTTTGTGCACTAGCACAGAGCACAGGCCTGCCACTGCGGCATATGGTAGTGAGTACATTACTAGCCTACAAAACACAGCCGAAAAACTCTGAAAGAGAGCTGATCGGCGGTGCCTGAAAAGGATGTTAGCCAGCTCTCTTAAGCGAACCACATCAGTCATTGAAAAACACCTTGGGGTTTGCAAAAAGGTCCCATTAGGGACTAGTTGCTGACGTGCAAACGTCCCCCACCAGTACCAGCACAGAGCAAACACAACTATGTGTTGACTGAACATCGATTGTTTTGCCCATCGATATTTTCCGATAGCGTTGAAAAGAATAATAGATATATCGATAGTCACTATCGATAGTTTTATCTGACAGAATGTGAGGTTATAACAAAGTATTTGATAAAATAATAATATGTTATTGAACGCTTTCTACACTTTTGGCACGATATAACTACGATTCCGTCTAATTTGTTGGTGAACTTGGGTGGGAATGGAGTGAACAAATAACTTGTGACAAAAATCAAGTATGACGTATGGCGTATGCCGCATGCATTGCGCATGCTCAGTCAACTTCTACTTTTTCAGGTTTAAGCTTAGTATATCCCGAAAAAATGCATGTTGAGGGTTTCGCATCGGCATATCTTCCTTAGGTCTACAAAAATTCTACACTAACTGCACAAGTGGTCAGAAATGTCAAAGTTGCTACGTCAATCAAAAAATTGAATCATTGATAGCAGATTGACAGTACATTTTGGTTCCGCTGGTCCACATAAAATGGATTCATCTACCTTTTGTGGTTTCTCTGTGAGCACTGCTAGCAACAGTGTTATGGAAAAAGATGTGTTCTTCATTGTCAATGATGTTTTCCAAGTTAGTGTTTTTCATAATTACTGAATCAACAATTAAATGTTCTTAATACCTGCACAGCTGAATTGCATTCTATAACTTTTTGGTTATTTCGAATTTTCGGTAACTGCTATTTCGGAACGAAGTACTTCTATATATCGATCATCATTTTTGAAATTATTGCAATAAACTCCAATGAGACATTCAAAATCATTCGAATTCCAAATATTTTCCCACTTGGATATTTAAGGTTATATGTATCGCACAATCACTATTCTGAAAACTCGAAAGGCAGAGGAAATCATTTCTCCACAATAGTTCGCTCTTGAAATCCACAGTGGACCACGCAAAACACGCTCAGTGCCGAAAGTTCTAGCCAGTGCGACGAGTGGAAAACCCTATTATTTTCGATGATCGCGCGAAAGAAGATCCTTATTATAGGGAGGGCAGGTAGGTGGAGTATGACTTCAGTCAGAAGTCCGGAAACTGGAATTAGTTAGCTCCAGTTGTTTCTTCGCGAGCTGAACTCTTGGAATTTTCGGGAATGCTTCCTGAAGCAAAGAATCCCACAGATTTGTTGTTCTCTAGAATCTAAGCAGTGCAGGCAGAGGTAACTACATCCACTACTTCTCATGACAGAAACCAGTTACCATATTATAGAAGGGGACCTTAATTTTTTAGTTACAGTCCAAGTCCTTTACTTCCTTCGAGAAATGAACTAGATATGTAGCTCTAGATTAGGAATAATACTCTAGTGCTTAGACAAAGGTCTGGGCACCTGTATAGATATCAAATAATGAGAGGACATCTTTGTTCCCGTGATTCGATACAAATCCTTGACTTCCTACGAGAATGAATGGGGAGCTCTAGATACGAAATAATACTCCAGTACCTAGACAAAGTTCTGGGCAAATGTAATCCTTCTCCCCATGATCCATGACAAGTTCTTGACTTCCTAAAGTTCGTTGTCGGTGGATATCACGTCCGGCATCTGGAAAGGGGGTGATGTGAGTTAGTTCCGATGATCGCGCGAAATGGGATCCTTATTATAGGTAGGTGAAGTCAGAAGTCCGGCAATATCAATCAGAAATCCGGAAACTGGAATTGGTTAGCTCCACTTGTTTCATGAAGACCGAAGAGCAGTCTTTCTTTGCGAGCTGGACTTTTGAAAGTTTTTGGGAATGCTTCCTGAAGCAAATAATCCCACGATATTGTGGTTCTATTGACTCTAAGCAGTGCAGGGATAGATATAGATAGATAGATAGATAGATATATACTTTATTGTCCAAGAATGAATTCTCATTGACAAAGTAATATGAACAATACGAATATTGTACAATGTGTCAGAAGCAAATAACAATTTTAAAACAAATACATACATATATAGATATAAATAATTAGATACTAATAATATAACTCCACTACTACTCATCACAGAGCCCAAGCCAATGGCCAAATAACAGAAGAGGACTGTATATGAGGCTCTAGATTAGGAATAATAGTCTAGTGCTCAGACAAAGGTCTGGGCACCTGTATAGACACCAAAGATAATCGAAGAGAATCTTTGTTCCCTTGATCCTTGACTACCTACGAGATATAGGATTGGATGGGGAGCTCTAGATCAGGAATAATACTCTAGTACCTAGTAGACTGAGGTCTGATCAAATGTTTAGATACTAAATTATGGGAGGGAATCTTTCTTCCTTTGGTCCATGCGAAGTCCCTGACTTCCTACAAGACATACGACTGGATGAGGATCACTATATTAGGAACATTGCCATCGTGCATTAGTCATCAGCAAAACCGAGCTGTGGATGTTAACAAGGTTCCGTTCGAGTCTCTGCAAAGTGCCAAGCGGACTTAAGGAATACCTCGAAAATCTCGGCCTGAAAGAGAATAGCACAATGAAGGAAAAGTGCCTATACCCAAGACCCAGGGTTGCAGGGAAGTTATCATCCCTTGTTGCGGAATCAACATGTAAACTGCCATCTTCTGGACGAGGTTCATAAGCTATTTGAAATAACCCTTATGGTAGCACTTCCACTAATGAAACCATGTATGTTCCATAAAAAAATTGGTGAAGTGGGCATTGGCCTTATTTTTGCATAAACTTACCGTTCGACTGATGGGGTCTGGCAAAACGATAGGCGGCATCACAACGGGGGTAGGTGAGTTCTCTTGGTTGTTGTACGCATTGTAAGGGGGTGGTGAGGTAACTGACACATTTTGCCAATTGAATTCTGACACTGGAAGACCGTGTGATTTTGCCTGTCTCTCGAGTTCCTAAAAAAATTTTAGGTTTTATATACATTCATGTCGAATAATTTCTTTGTTGAGAAAACTGAAAGATATGTTACCTGTACTCGCAGTTGAAGTCTTCTGTTGATGCTGTCCATTTGTTTTTGTCTGGCTTCTTGTTGTTTAAGTCTCAGTACTTCGTTCTTCAGGCACTTGATATATTCGACTGACGACTTTAATATTGTGCCTTTGTTTGGACGGACGTCTCTGACGATTTCGAAGTAGGGGTCATTATTTTTCGGAAGGAGGGTACCCAATTCTTTGATACGGTCATTTATGTTGAATCTCCTTCTTCTTTCGACTGAAATAATAATATTCCTACTGGAGTTACATACTGTGGGCAATAGAGTGTTTATATATACTAATATTGTGCGTTTATACAGAGCGAATTTATTTTTGTATGACTACTAATACACTATATGCTGATTGAAAAACTGATTGAGAAGAAATAATTTCTTGGAATATGAATTCTCGAAATATATGTTGTGAGGACTAACAATACTTACTCATATTGTGGTTGTCTTTTTTCTGTCTATCTTTGGCGAGAGCATGTAACTCAGCATCACTGAGATGGTAGGGCTCGTTTTTTATATTGAGATCATTTCCTGTTAGGGAATTTTCCGACGTTTTGAAGCCGTCAGATGCCAGGGAACTGGATTCCAGTGAAAGTAAATCATCTATTAAGTCTTCAGCCTGAAAAGAAAAAGCTTGCGTCAAAGAGAAGTTGATAATTAATTTTAGTGGAAATTGGAAACTGTTACAAACACGTTCGAAAACATGCGAAAGAACTACTGAACCAAGCCTCAATGAATCGGTTCAAAATCGGATCAAAATATGGTTTGATTGTAGAGGAATTCAGAACGACATGAAGTAATTGATAGAAATGGTACACACATTCCAAAATAGTTGAAGTTTGTGAGAATAATGCCAGATCGTTTTGGCCTCGAAAATCAAAAAGTGACCTTATAATACGTCACAGCAGTCGCAACAGTACATAATGCATATCCGTTATCAAGTATAATTTTTCCCAATTAGATATTAAGGTTGTGTCACTAGAATAGAAAAAAATAACGATTTTACTGAGTATTCGTATATCGCATCGCATTATATAATACCTTCACCAAGTACTGAAAACTTATTGTTATTCAATAACAATGTTAGTTATAAGTTCGTACCATATATAAGTATATATAATATTACTAGTCACGAAGACAGGTTAATACCGTCGCATAACCATACATGAAATACAGGACGGTGATTCGAACACCACAAATAGCATTATTATTTGTCCAAAGAAGTTGATGACTACCTACCCGCCTAATTGATTTTCAAATATCCAAGTGTTTATTTATTCCGATATACATGTAAACGTGAAATATGTTCTCACGAAAGGGTGGACCTATTCAAATTCAGCAAACGGCTTGAAATTTTGCTTCTAAACATCAATCTATTCGAAGTAAAAGATTCAATAATATGTCATGTCTTCAAATAGTGTTTCTTCAACGAAGTTGAAGTCTTCAAATCAGCTAAATCAATGAGACTATCGCTACAATCATTAATCAATATTTTCGAAGAATAACCAATGATAACGAAAGTCGCACTCGAAATGTCTAGCGGACTTACCGCAATTGGTTCATTATCGCTGTCAGTAGCACAAAATCCTCTGTAACGGTTGTATGGACCCATTTCGAGGAATGGGTGCTTATATCAGAAAGCATCAATCAGCAAATCAGTTATAGGGAGACCGGTTCACCGTTTGAACACAACTACGCATACACAACGCGCAGTAGCTAACTGTCGAATGCGCAAAAATAGAATAAGAAGCAACTGCACATATCATGGCTAATGAAGCCGTCTGGATGAAGATTTCCACTGCTACTGAGCAGTTGAAAGCAGCTATCAAAAATGTTTGACGAAAAGTTGTTAATTTGAATTTATTCGGTAGTATTATAAATCATTTGGTGCATTATTTATTAGATAATAATACTGTGTCTTGCAGATACTGTGATGAAATATTTATTTTAAGCTGACGGAAATTTATGATCGTTTAAGGTTGCTCGTAGCGATGACGGATTAGAAGGGTACCACTTTTGGAAAAAATATATTGCCTGTCCATCAGGTTATTACATCAACTAACTGTAGGTATACATATCTCGACGAGTCTCGTTATCATCAGCTTTATTGATTACAAAGAGATAAATAAATACATACATATAACTGGTTCAAATAAACAAACTTCTATTTGTTGTAAATAATAGGTATAAAACATATAAGATATGTTGTGTGTTTCTTCAGAAATACTCATTATCTTCTTATTATCAACTATTGAAGTACCTACTAAGAAACTGGATACAGGGTGATTCATTCATTTCCGTAGGTAATCTTCAGAAGCTTCTGCTTAGGTGAACCGAATCAATTAAGAAGAAGTTATCGAATAACCCAATTCAAATATTCACCTTCTCGGAAGAGAGTTTGGGACACCTTTTAGTGGTTCAGATTTCTCTGCTCTATAGATTATTTCGATCATTTGTGAGACAAAACAATATTGGTTTTATATAGCTCTCATAATGGAGTCAAATACATCAATTCGAACGTCAATTATTTAATTAACACTACATGATGATTACCCGCAGTTTTATGTCGTTGGATCCATATATTCGCTTTGCTTTGAGTGTGAATTGAAACAGATGAAAGAATTTCTCTGTACCAATTTAAAATAGTCAATGCATTGTGACAACATATTCGTTGTTTAATCATAACCGTTTTTTTTTTGTCCATTGAAATTATTTAATGGCATTGAATGTGGAATCATTTGTCCGAGGAATAGTTAGTCAACTTTTGTGGTGAACAGTTTGCCTAATTGCTATAAATACTGCAAAAATCGATGACATTGGTTTTTTCCAAAGTTCAGCCAAAGGAATTACGGTTTCCTTTGGAATGGAAAAACTAGTACAGAGATGGCGTACTGATTTTGATGTTTTAATGTCTTGAAATAACATTTCCTAACGAGTTAATAATTCAAGTTGTGTGTTTAATGATAATCTTGTGAGATTAATTTATAATATGTGTGTTGAGAACTTTTCTGTTTAACTGTGTTGCTCCATAATCAGAATCTATTCTGATATATCAGTGTTGGGGAATGTGGATGAAATCGATTTTCAAAACATTGTCAATCAATCCTCCTGGATTGTTCAAAATGTATTATGTACTTATATAAAGCTCCTGGTTGTTATTGTTAATTCGATTACTTGCAAGTTTTATATCGTATATCAACCTCGAGAGGTATCCATAATATTAATGAGATTTGTTGTGTGACCTGTACGATCATAAGTAGGTAATTACCTCTCATTTCAAACTTATTAATGTTATTAAATAGCGTGTTGAGGATTATATCACGATTGCGATTTGCATTTGGTGATAAGGTGCTTGAAAAAATTGAATTTTCCTGCGTCTCGAGTCGCTGCATATTACGATTCTGCATAATTACGTAACACTTGATTTTTTCACAAATTTTTACAACCTCACGTTTTATTCATGACTTCGTTATTTGTTTACGGTAATAAAAATTGCTAACAATAGCACCCGGTTCTAAATTTTTTTATTAATCTACTCCTTATGTAAACTAACACCATTTACCAATCTTCTGGTCCGATTTTTATTTCGACACAAATCTCGGCCGAAACAAGCTGACAATTTGGATTACATGTCCGCTGAACTCGTTATTCAGTTTAAATGGCTGCTAACCGGTATTTATGTCAACATAATAGTACTCGACATATTTACAATCAACTCACTCCAAAGGAAAAGCTTGGGCAAAGATGAAGATACTGATTTCGTTTTTGTGTCATAGAACCGGTATAAATATACCTAAATTTGCGAACTAGGGAAATCCTATAGTTGCCTATATTCCGTTTATCCCTGTTTTATTTTCAATGGAGATTTCACCTTTCACCTTGTAGATCTAATTGGGAAGTACCAAGTACCTGCCCAGCAATATCCAGTAGGTAGTTACCCTAATAGCACACTGAAGTCACATGATATCCATAGGACGTTCCGCCGGGACAATCGGGACGTCCATAGGACATGCGTTCTTGGTACCGCGGACATTCATATTACGTCCGTGGAAAGTACAAATTAACCGACTTTTCATCAAAGAAGGATATCCCTCGAAGATATACATTGGAGCTCTTTGGGAAATCATACAATAGATGTCCTTTGAAAACCGAGGTTAATCATAGGACATCCTTTGAAACGTCCTCTGGAATGTCCATTGGACGTCCCAAATCTTGCAATACTGATGAGGACATCCAGTTGAGTTGATGGTTCATAGAAGGTCCCCAATAGATCCTGAAGAAGGTTCCGAAGAATATTCTTGTACTTATTACTAAGATGAGCATAATATGGATTATCTTTAGGAGTTCCTTCCGAAGTCATAACAATTCATGTACCAATTGGGACATCCGACGAATGTCCCTAAGAGACATTTCGATTGTTATACGATCCTGGAGATATTAAGGACGTCCTTGCAGATACATTTGAAGATATTCACCGTCTGGGACATTCCATGGATCTTCTAGAAGGGACATTATTCACGATCTGAAGTCATGCCAGAATATGAACTACTTAGGGCATCCAATGGATGACCCTGAATGAACGTTTGAAATTATATTCCTTCAGGGACATGCTAAGGACGTCCTTACATGTACGTGAGACATCTAAAGAATGCTATTCCTAGGACATTTGAAATGATATGTGCTAGCTGGAACATTCCATGGACGTCCTTGCTCAATCATTGCATGAGATGTACGGGATGGGACGTCCCAAGGATAAATATTTTCGGTCCGTGACATTCGGACTTGATTTGTACCAAATAGGGACGTCCCTAGGACGTTGTATGCTATTAGGGTATACTAATTGAACAGATATTGTCTCATTGCAGCTATTAGGTCAGTCAACAGGATGTTTTCATTGTTAATCTGTTTCTTCTCTCTCATTTGATTGCAAACGTCATCAATTGTCACTGAGAACTGAGGAGTGTCAAGAAAAATACGAATTTGCCATGCAAAAATCCATTTTTTATGTTGAAAACGGGAGCAGATTCGTTTCCGAAACGTCCAAAGTCCAAATTGTATCACTTGCTTTTTTCCCTATATATTCTCCATAGGTATCAAGATATTCGCCAGCGAATCATCAATCACTCAATCCCATATATAATAATATATAGGTATTTATGTGAGCTAAGATGATTGTGAAATAATTTTTATATAAACATCAGATATCAATGCAGTGTGACAAGAATTTTGTAGTATCTACTCATATCAGTAGAATAGCAATCTGTTTCTTATTGTTAATCTGTGCTTTTTCCTCCACCATAAATATTGTTTCACCAACAAGGCAAAAAATCAATAAACCATACATGATTTATCGTGAATACCTGATTACCATAACATCAAACATACAACTAGCGTTATATAATGCTCTCCTCTAAACAATAATAACATCCTGTGAATGAAATCAGATTCACATGAAAATTATATTTCAATGAATGTGTAATTACAATTAGTGAACGATTTTTTATACCAGGATGGCCTTGACTCACAAATAGACTTGTTCAGTTTAAAATTTCATCGTACATTTCAGAAGATAATGCAAAAGTTATTAACCTACATTGCGGAATACCTTTACCTACACTG